TATGTTTAATTTGAAGATGAACGAATGTGTGTTAGTTACTGATCATATTAATGAATTCAATGTGATCGTTAGTCAATTGAGTTCAGTTGAGATTGACTTTAAAGATGAGGCACGTGCTTTGATTCTATTATGCTCATTACCTGATAATTGGAACACTACTACTGTTAGTAATTCCTCTGGGTCAACAAGTTTGACGTTTGATGGTATTCGAGATTTAATTCTGAGTGAAGACATCTGTAGAAGAGAATCTGATGAACATATATCTACTGCTTTAGTAGGTGAAAATAGAGGAAGAGCTGGTACACGTGTTAGCAGAAGTAGCATAAACTCGAATAGACGAAATCAGTCTGACTGATAGTGTTATCTGTTGGAGTTGTGGCAAGAGGGGATATCTTAGAAAGGATTGCCTTAAGCTGAAAAACGACAAGGGTAAAGGGATTAGAGTTGAGTCTGCAGATGATATTACAGCTACAGCAAACAGTAACTCGGATGGCGCTGATTATGTCGTGTCTGTCACTGATTATTCGTCATTTGGCAAATGGATTATGGATTCTGGATTCTGGTTGTTCTTTTTATGTTACAACAAACAGGAACTGGTTTACTACTTATCAGTGCACAGATAGTAGTAAAGTACAGTTTGGGAACAATTTTGAATGCGATATTATTAGTGTTGGTGATGTTAGAATCAGAATGCATGATGATATCGTGTGGATATTGACTGGAGTGAGGCATGTTCCAAAGTTGAAGAAAAACTTAATTTCCTAGAGTAGCCTGGACTCAGCTGGGTATCGGTATTCTTCAAGATGTGGAGTTTTGAAGGTTCTTCAAGGTGCCATTGTGATAATGAAAGGAATCAAGCACAGTGGCATGTATGAGCTTCAAGGTGAGACAGTGACGGAATTCGCTGCGAAGATGTCAGATGCATCGGTTCGAGAGTCTAAATTGTGGCATATGTGTTTGGGGCACATTAGCGAGAGAAGCTTGAAGGTTTTAAGTGAAAGAAATTTTCTATGTGGTTATGTTGCTGACGAATTGAATGTACGCAAGTTGTCGCAGTTTCCTTCGAGGAAGAGTGCAAGATTTATGCTAACAGTTGTCGATGATTACTCGAGGAAGACTGGAGTGTTTGTGCTTAGACACAAGTTTGATGCTATTGTCAGGATCATGCAGTATTGAAAAGGATATTGGTAAAACGATCAAGCAAGTGCAGATTGACTGTAGCATGGAGTTTTGCTCGAAGCTGTTAAACAAATTCTGCATGAAGGAAGGCATAGTGAAACACCGCACTAGTGCCAGTAAACCACAATATGTTGCAGAGTTGATGAGCAAAACATTACAATAGACGGCCCATAAAATGCTCTTTAGTGCTGGTATGGCCAGGAGATTCCTGGCGGATGCGCTTAGTACGGCGAGCTACCTGATGAATAGATCCCCATCGATTGCGATTGGATGTCAGACTTCTGAAGAAATGTGGTCAAGTAACGTTGCTGATTATTCTGTTCTTAGAATATTTGATTGCCCATGTTATGTTTGAGTTAGTGATGGTAAGCTCGATGGAAGGGCAATAAAGTGCATGTTCCTACGTTATGCACAAGGTGAGCGGGGCTATCGATTGTGGTGCTCGGAATTAAATTCACCTGTTGTCAGCATAGAAGTTATATTTGACAAGTCTCTAATACTTCTGGGTAGGAGTGTTTGTGGCAGTGTTCATACGGATCTGAACGATGTGCAGCTTGAGGTGGAGTTACAACCAAAAACTCTTGAGGTAGCGCGTACTAGCGAAGTAATCGATATGGATGATGCTTGTAGCAAGGTGGAGCCTGTAGAGCCAACGGTTGCTGTAACTGCTGATATTGACAAGGTGCGTATTCGATATCCTGACAGATATGGATGCAATGATGGTTTTGTTTTATCTGCGATTGAGGAGGTTATATCGGAAAATCCTTACGGAGTGGTTAAAGGTGAATGTGGAGTTGGTATACTGATAAGATCCAAGGCTATGGTGAAGTTCAAGCGAGGCTTGGACTTGGAAGATATCTATAACGGATAAGCCCATTGGGGGCTGTGTGAGAGTAGTAGAGAAATTCGGATTTATTAAAGATGTCTTAGTTTGGATCAAAGCGATTTTAGAAATTTAATGGTCAAGGAAGCGGTCCAAAGGAAACGGAAGAGAACACACTTTTTAGCTCATTGAGCTCTCAAGGTGGCCAAATGCAAATGGTATTAAAAAATGTCTTGAGTTTGAGATCGAAGCAAAAATCCGAATTTTAGAAATTTAAAAAAGAAAAGAATCCAAGGTCAAGTTTCGGAAATTAGCTTTCGGAACGTGAGTTGGAGTCTTCGCCCATTGCAAAAGGAAAATCCAATTGTGTTAGAGAAAGGAAGGAAACACTACTTGAAGTCGGCCAAGGAAAAGTCAAAAGAGGAAAGTCCAAACTTTGACCGGTTGACCGAATAACATGATTTCCTAATCCATGTTGACGCGGGCTTTCTGAAGGTATTTTTCTTTTGGCTATAAATATACTTAGTGGGCACTTTGGGCGGAGGTTGTTGATGTATACGTGAAGTTATTCTTGAAGCGCCGCTTGTGTGTGAGTGCATAGCAGTGGGCAATCTTCGAGGTTTTGTTCGTAGAATTATATTAAGAGTTCAAGTGTTTGTAGCGATTAAATTTTATGGTAAGATTTGTTAATTCCTTCGCGAGATTGAGAGATTATTTCATGAGGAATTGTGTGGCTAAACACTGTGTGAGCTATTGGGTGTGATTGGAGTTTGGGAAACACTTAGAGTGTTTGAGTGACTCGAGTGTGGTTGTAATCTCCGTTGTATCGCTTGATCTATAATGGAATTCGTGCTGCTCTCTCCGTAGACGTAGGTCACTATGACCGAACCACATAAATCTACTGTTCGATTTATTTTCTCAATCTGTTAATTTTATTGTTCGATCGCTTGGCTTCCACAATAAATGGTATCAAAGCCGATGGTTGATTGGTGAGCCTCAATCTATTCCGGTGTTTGGTAAATATCTCAACAAAGAAATCTTATGATCGATGCTTGTTTTGGGTGGAAATTGCTATTACGGTTGGTCTGGCGAGAAGTGACCATGGACAATTGGTCTGGTGACGCGAGATAGAGACCATGAGTGATGCAATCCCAAGTTAACAATTGATGATGGTTATTGTGCATAGTTGCGGGTGCATTGCAATGACTTGGGGATTCAAGTTGAGATAAGCTGATGCATAAGAATACCTAAATTAAGAGGGAATAAACCTAATATTGAGTTTACACGTGAGAGGGAGATTGTTGAGATACACCTGTGAGTTGTGTTATAGAATAACACATCGGATAATTGATGTGGTGTTGAGTAGTTAATATATCTTAGTTGGCCCATAACTCATTGGCTTAAGCTTTTGAGTGAAGGTGGGTACAACTGGATATGTTAACGGGCTCGGACTTGAACTCCCTCTTTGGCGATCTCCCCAGTGAAGGTATTGGGCTTCTGCTTCGAGCTTCTAACACGTCGAACAGTGTACACAAACCTGTATGGTCTCTACTTTGTAAGAAGAAGAAGAAGACCCACAGCTTTACGCTTGGTCTTTGTCTTCATCAACTAATGAGTTGGAGACGTACTTGGTACAAACTACTCCAAATACATTGACAGAGTCGGCCAAGATACCGTCAACCTTGACGAATGGTGGAAGAGGAGACCTGCCGGTTTTCCAGTGGCCCCACCTACGCCTATGGTAGTCACCGGAGTCATTGTTCAATACTAACCAACGGATTTGGAAGACAAGAGATTCTCTTTTGAATTTTTCATTGAATGATTACGTTAACTCTTTATGAAAACTCAGGCACAAGGAGTAAAAATTGGCAACTGCTTTTTCTGGAACGTTGCCTCTAATGGACACATGTGGCTCCACAAGAAGCCAAGACGCTCACGGCAAGCGGGAGTCATTTACTCAGCGAAGCACATTTTCTAATCTTTGGATTGGGATGTGATTTTTCGATTGCGAAATGTATGAAAGAATCTCGGAGATTGATAAAGATCATGGGGGAGAGAATAATGGGTATTAGTCCAAAAAGAGCCTTGGAAAAGTATCCCCCGGGACCAACCAACAAGACAAAAGTTACACCCTAGAGAGAGAGAGAGAGAGAGAGAGAGAGAGAGGAGGCGGGGTTGTTGCATGCTGCTAGCTGAACTAGGTTTTGGCCCATGGCCACAAGTTCCCATGTTGACTTTAAGATGACTATCCCCTTTGATTTGAATAATGCAACCTCACCCTAATCAAATTATTCCGCAGGCTGTGTCCACCTTGGTCGAAATTAACGTGGATTCATCGCTAGACATGCTCCGTGAGTGGGAACGATGTCCTGTAACGAGTGAGTTTTGATTAGTACTGAAATGTCGGAAGCGAGGAAAAGCAGCAATTGAAGAAGCGGTAGGTCCGGGTCCAACAACGCGGCGCAACAAGACAAACCCAAAATCTCCGAAAGAAAAAGATGATGTTGATCTCACGAACACCAGGTGTGTGTGCGCGCGCGCGTATTGGATGCATAGCCATCATTTGGAAATCCTCGATTTCCCAACGTGACTTGACCCCTCTTGGAATTGCAGCCCCCCCGCCATCAATACAGAAGATCGCACCCCCCGCACAACCAAATGACCAAAACAAAAGTAGAAAAAGATTGCAGCCATGAGAGAGAGAGAGAGAGAAACAGAGCGAAACAGAGGGAGACAGAGATCTGACAAGTTCTTAACTCTGCTGTGCCTCTCTCGTCTCTCTCTCTCTCTCTCTCTCTCTCGCTTTGACGGAGCAAGAAAAGCGCGAAAGCGAGAAACTCTTTTCACTGTGCAGGTCCACACTTTCCCACTTCGCTGACCAATAAAGACGCCTTTGTTTTTCCTTTGTTTTTTGTTTAGCCCCTTCTTCCCCCCACCACGACCCGTCCCCAACAGCATTAGAAAAAGAAGCAAGAGAGACCGAGACAGCTCGCGCGACTTCGCTAATTCCGATAATAGATATATTTGAAGAAAGCGATGCGTGCTGCTGCTGCTGCAGATCACATCACCGAAATGCAAAGAACACATACACAAAAGATCTGGATACGATTCTCCTTCCTCTCTCTCACTTCCCGTGAGGAAGAAGACCGCCCCGCTTAATCTTTTATCCTTACCTAATTCCCTATATTTTCCTAGAAAATTTACAGTGGAGGAAAAGACGGGTGACGACTGATGGAAAAATTTAATCATTTCCTTCTCGTCCCTTTCATTGGGCAATGATTTCGAACATCGAAAAACCACGCCACCCATCATATATGGTAGTACGGCTGTCTTTTATTTTTCGTGTTTTCTTCCCGCGCTTTCCGTCTTCATTTTCCGTCCTCCGGCGAACTTCTTGATGCATCCTTGCGCAGCGGATCGCTCACTGACCTCGCCAACAGCGACGACTCCGAATCTAAACATACCATAAAGGAAAAGAAACACCCATCATCCTAGGAAAAAGAAACAGCGCATATTTCACATGATATGCTAGTTCAAGTTCAAGTTCTGTTCCTCGCCAAGTTTGATTTTTTCCTTAATTATATGCAACTATGATTATAAAATAAGGAATCCCAAAAAAAAAATGTATGGAAAATTTCCAGTACCTCGCGAGGCGTTGAAGGATCTCTTGCAATGCAAGATGGCGCTTTGGATCCCATCCTGCTGTTGCAGCAGCGAATCGTCCCTCCTCGACGCTGCCGCCGCCGCCGCCTGCCCTCCCGGCGCTGCGGCCACGGCCGACGAGGCCGAGCGGCTCTTCCCCAGATGCTTGCACACCACCCTCAGCCCAGCCGGGATGCTACTGCTCCCCTGCCCCTGCCCCTGCCCCTGCCTCTGGCTACTCCCGTGGCCACTGCTGCCCACCTCCGCCACGGCCGAGGCCTTGGACCGGCTCTTCTCGCCTACCGTCGGCTCAAACACGGTGTGGCCGAGCTGCCCAGAGAGTCCCAACCTCTCGCCGTACCGCTTGGAGACGCGGATGTAGAACGGCTTCACCTTCTTCAGATACCGCCGCATCGCCTCCCTCGCGAAGCGTCTCTCGTCGCCGCTCGCCGCGTCTTCCTCGGATGTCTGTTTCTGCGGCGGCTTCGCACCGGAGGCGCTCCTCGAGCTGTTGTCGCGAGTGAAGAGAGATACGAGCGGGACTTCCTCGACCTTAAACTTCACGGTCAAGAACTTGTTGCTGCTGCTGCTGCTTTGCTTGTTGTTGTTGCCCCGTTCTTGCGCTCTCGCTCTCTGTGGCGGCGTTATGACTGTCAGGCACGGCTCTTCCGAGGTCTCTGTTTTCTCTGCTTTCTCCAACGTGTTCATGGGCTTTGACTTCTTGAGACCCAACATGAAGACGCGAAACTTAGTGGCAGATTTCAGCAGCGAGGCGGCGGCGGCAAACGACGGAGGCTTGGTGGAGTCGGGGTCGGAGGAGGGCTCGATGGGCACGAGCTTCCCTTTGAAGAAGAGGTCGTCGGAGGGAGAGAGAGACGACGCAATGTTCGCGTCCGTGCAGTCGTGGCTCGACCCGGACGACCCAGAAGAGAGCGTGAAGTCGAACTCTCTGTCCACGTCGTCGCCACCTCCGCATTCACTGGCACTGTCGTCTTCGTCGTTGCCGGGCTCGTCCTGTTTCCGCCTCTCCTCTTCCTCCACCTCGGGCTTTTCCTCGTCGTCCTCGTCGTCGGGGACCGGGGCGAACTCCAGGTCGAAGAACGGCCCGTCGTCTCCGTCGTCGTCGTCGTCGTCGTCGTCGGTCTCGGGGGAGGAGCGGGGGACGGCGGTGGCGGAGGCGGTGGCGAAGATGGTGGTGGCCGGGACGGAAGCGGCGCGAGGGTCCCCGCCGCCGCCGCCGCCGCCGCGCCAGTACTTGAGGAGGCTAAAAGCTTCCATGGTCGGGAGAGCCAGAATAAGCAGATGGGAGGGAGGGGGTGAGAAAAAAGGGAAAGGAGCGGAGGAGAAAATCTTGTGGGCGGGTTTGGCCCTTTTTAGAAGCTGAGGGAGAAGAGAAGAAGAGGCAGTAAATGGAGGAGGAATGGAAGGTAAAAAAAAAGGGAAGGAAATAATGGAGGAGGAGGAAGAGTAGCTGCTGTGGAGGGGGTGAATCAATGGTGGGTTTTTTTCTTGCAGTTTTTGCAGTTGCTGCAGCCACAGAGTACAGAAGAGAGAGAGGGAGGGAGAGAGAAGGTAAAGGAGGAGGAAGGGTCTCTATTGAGAGTTTTTGGAGTGATGTGTGTGGGTTTTGCAGAGAAAGTCATGTGAAAGGGCAGTGTTGGAGTCAGATACAACAAGGACAGGACAATGATGGCCGATCTTTTCTTTTTTAACCATTTTCACTCTCTCACTCACTCTCCCCACACTTCCCCGAGTTCCCCCCGTTTCACGGACAAGTCATCTGACGCATCCTTAACAATATATAAGACATGTGACCCTCCGTCGTTTGAAACCTATCTAATCTTTCTCGGTAAGTATGGAGAAGTACCGGGCCATTTGAGCATGCATTCCGTTTTTGTGCGTTCTTCTTCTACAAGATATCTCGACGAACATTATCTCGCTTTTCATTCGACCCTACTGCTGAGTATTTTAGCTGTTACTTTTCCTGTGCCATTTGTGTGTACATCTATCTATGGTTTCTTTTGAAGGTTTAGTTAATCGGTGGGACGTTCTTGTGAGAGTTTCGAAGAATCCTCATGGAGGGATCACCACTCCTTGATGGCTATTAAGTGAAAAAAAAAAGAATAAAATTTCACCCATTGATCGTGAAGTCTTTGAATTTGCGCGTGTCGTGGCATTTGGTACTAGAGTTACGAAGCAATACAAGAAGCCGCCACAAGTGATGAGGGAGAATCTGTACCTGGAGACCATAGAACGACCCATAGGAAAGTCTCGTGCGCAACATCTAGACATCGAACTAGCCGGTGCTAGGGAACTGTTCCTCGCTTATAATACCCTTGTACTGTCACGATGGTCGTACCCTTCTCTCCACCTCTATTATATGCGTATGCAACACCATGCCTCCTTGCCCCCTATCGCCGCCTCCAATAACACCATCGATGGCCACCACATGACGATCGCCGCCGCCACAATTGGCTTTCATTGCCTCCTCCTTCAATTTCGGTTGCCACTCTTCTCTTTCCACCACCCCCTTGCCAAAGCTCTCCACCACCAACGCGTTTGGCCTCAGCCGATGACCCCTCACCTCCGAATTCCACTTGCACGGTCGTGATTTCTCCTCTCCATCATCAAGACCAAGCTATGCAAGCATGGTAGAGCCTTGGAATGAGATCTAAGGTTCGGGTCAAGTGCCACCAAGCCTGAGAATGCAATTGAACGCCCTCGGCCATCAGGAACATAATCTAGAGTGAAAAACTTTCGTCCACCCACATTCTAAACGTTTCCCCCCAAGTGTTCCATGAGAAGCCCGCGACCTTCAAGAAGAATATGAACTCGAGCGAAAGCTTTAAGCCACTCAGATCCAAAGATTTTCCTAAATGTTCCACAATTGAAAAAGCCTTCGGCGGGAACCCGATGGTTGTCAAGAATGCAATCCGGAGTGAAAAGCTTTCAGCCACCTTAGATCCTAATAGTTTTCGTAAGTCTCCCATGATTGAAGGCCTTTAGCCGTCGGGAACACACGAACGAGAGCGAAAGTCTCTAGCCACTCGAATCCTAAAAGTTTTCCTAAGTGGTCCACGAGCTTAGAGCCTCAGGCCGTCGAGAACACCATCTTGGAGAACGAGAAGCTAGTGACAATTATGGATTTGGATAACTAATGAAGAAACATGTCACTTGGGCAAGTGTATCAAGTCGTCGACTTCCCCACCGGTGATCTCTCAAGAAGAACCTCCCATTCAAAGTTCATTTTATAAGAAGGATCGGCACCAGAATAACTGTTCAAAAAATCTATATCCATTGATGCATAAGGGTAGCTAGACTACATATTATGCCTATTGCCAAATGTCACGGCATGCAAACACTTGTTTTTGTCGAGATAGAATCACCACCTGTCGATCAACACCCAACGACAATGATCACTTCCATTTATAAATAGAGACCAAGCAGTTCATATGAGTTTCTTCCCCAAAATTTCTTCACTTGAATGCGCATATATCCTTCTTGCTAACTTAAGCATCAGAGGACCAATCCACGACGCTTAACCCGTATTCCCTGGTGTTGGTTCCACGTGGTGAAAGTTTCGACGAATTTTTCAGGACTTGACCGTCTGTCAATGCCAAATGTACTAATCGACCTTACGTTGAAACAAAAATTGATCTTTTGAATTTCGAACAGACTTATGCCATCTTTGAAGCAATGAATGGGCACATGTCAATCAAATCTCGAATTTTAAGAACGAAAAAGCAGTTGCAAAAGCGCCTATAAAGTGTCGTCCGGATTACTTGGTGGACCAAGCCGAGGCCTCCATGACTAAAACCTAGGGCTACGTATGGGCTTGGCGGCTACGTATGGAAGAAAGGGAGAGACTTCCTCCTCTTACTTCTCTTGACCCAAACGGAGATAAATTTAGCTGTTGGAGACTCAAATTGATTAATTAGGTAACCTAAATAGATATTATCATTAACTTGCACCGAACTTTCGACATTTACGCAATTGATTCGCCTCATCTGAAATCTGCCCATCTTTTTATGAAATTGGATCGTAATATTCGTATATTAAAAATAACTGGTTTCATGTTTGTCGCGTCAGAAGCTTGCTAAAAAATTGGTCGAATCCCGATTTAGTGAGTCATCCGGTAAAAAAAATTGACAGTTCGGTGCATTTTGACGAGTGAAATATAAGTTCCACTCATTCGACTTAAAAATTAGCTAAACTTCAGTCAAAGGTATGACTTGATTTGGTCTATTTATTGGTAGATATGTGAGGACAAATATGCAATAACTACTCAGAAGGAGAGACGACTTGGTAGCAGGATGAATCATCATCTACTTGAATAGTGAGCATAGCAAAAAGATGTACATAATTTCCTTGCTGAGGCATTCATAAGGGTCTACCAAGTACAACCTACAACCCCTCAAATCTCCTTCAATGCACTCCTCTCCCCTCTCTCACTCACGCACACACTAGCGCTACAATAACTCAGTGCTCCTCTCGCAAGGTACAATCCCACATTTACTTGTGCTTGTGCCAGAGTGTGCTAGTGGTAAAAATTGCAAAACTAAGCATCATGAAAGATGAAAGCGCGAGGAACTTAAGTGAAAATGAGGTAAATAAGGCATCTAATTTTGAGGGTAGCTCATTTGAATTTCGCATTCCGTTCGTTAAATACGTATGTGTATATTTTCGCTTCGATACCAACGGGATGTTCATGAATCTTTCGGCACCCAAGCATCCTCATTAGACGTGATAGTTTTCCCGTCGCACACATACTGGGTAATTAACGAAGACACACATGTCTATGTTTATGCTCCTGGAGTTGCACTCAAGAGAACGCGCAAATATGGTGCTTCGATTCCGGACGTTGGGCTAGAAAGATGAACACACTTAAGCGATTCCTTATACTTCTATGTATAATTATGCCATACGATGCTTAAAGGTGCAGCTTTACAACAAGAGTATTATGGACTCCTGAGGGCCGACAATGACATACTTTAATACCACGATAACTGTACAAAAAGTGTTTGGTGCTTATTTCTCTTCCCACCTTTCCTCAAGGCTATGCATATTTGCCATTCAAAAAGCAAAGTCAAAGGCCCTACGAGACCAAGAAAGATAGGTGGGCTCCCTGAGAAGCTAAAAGTGATTAATGACATTATATATTTAGGAAAAATGACACAAATAATTCATGAATTTTGATCAAATATATAATATGATCTCTGAATTTTTAATTTATTCAATGTGTCCCCTGAATTGTAGCCTAATGCACAACGTATTCCAATTTGTTCAACATGTTTCCTAAATTTTTTGTACATATTCAGTTTAGTTCATGAATTATATGAAAATATTCAACATTATCTCTGAACTTAAATTAATAAAAAGACAATAGTTAACATCTTCATATAGTTCAGGGATTAAGTTGAACATATACGAAAAGTCCAAGGACCATATTGCATATTGAACAAATTAAAAATTCACGAATCATATTGCATATTAAGCCAAAATTTCAAAATCATTTGTGTCATTATCTCATTTATTTACTTTGGCCCAAATAGAACATTCATTTGCTCCTAAGAGAATGCTATGAATCTCAAATAGATGTGTACACTGTCAAATCACGAGAGATCATCCCATTGGCTAAAAGTCAATATCGAGTTATGTCTTTGAGACGTTCAACTTCGACAATTTATCAAGCTATAGTTTGAAGAATTATCTTGTTAGAATTCGATGGACAATCACAAGAAAATAGAGAGCGAAAGTGAAAAAAGAAAAATGAGACATAATATTTTTATCTCGATTCATCCTTAAATTAGAGCTACGTTCAGAAGAGGATTCTACTATAATTAACATATTGCACCTCTCTGTTATTTCTCTCAATTATAAGAGAAAAAAAATTATATATATACCTACTATCTATTCATGGTTCAAGCTAAAATTACCAATAAAATATGAGTTTAAACTATAAAAGCCCTCTAATGACTCAGGGCCACTGCCTCCGTGACCCCCGTGTCTTCCTATCGAAGGAGAGTATGAACCATACTCTAACATATCTATGCCCAGCTTAGGAGAGTTTAAATGGATGCTGAGACGTCTCGAGATATAGTATCCTAGTGCAAATCCTTCTCAGGCTTTGTACTTGTCATTAAGAGTGATGCTTTTTAGAGGTACATGAAATTAAAAATTAATACAAACGTATATGCAATTATACATGTATGTAATTAATGTATGTTAGAATTGAGTAATGCAAACATATACAGAGAAAATTGTTCAAAAAGTCATAATCCTATTGCATTTTTGCTAATTCAATTATAATCCTTTCAATTTTGCTAATTGAGTCATAAACTTTTTCACATTTTGCCAATTAAGTCCATCCGGCCAATTTTGGGCGGAATCCGCTGACGTGAACGCCAGCCGTTTTATGTGGCATGACCGGTGCTAACGTGAATAATTTTCAATAATATTTTAATATTTTTTTCGATTTTTTAAAATTATTTTTCTGATTTTTTCTTTCTTTGTTTCCTTTCTTCTTCCTCCTTTTGCCGGTGACCGACCACTAGCCACAAGCGATGGCCGGCCACTAGCCATGGCCGAGTGGGTTGGCCTCACCTGGGCGAGGGTGAGCCCCGGCGAGGGTCGGCCTCGCTTAGGCCTGATCTGGCAAGGCCGCCCTCGCCTATGCCAGTTGTGCCACGTAGGACAGCCAATAGCCGATGTCCACGTCGGCCAAAATTGGCCCGATAGACTCAATTGACAAATTGGCAAAGGGTTTACGAAAGTTGGTATAATTGAAATGTTTAAGACTGAATTAGTGAAAGTGCAATAGATTTATGATTTTTTGGATAATTTTTTCCACAATTATAGGGATGTATGATGTATCAAGGTGAATATGATCATCATGATAGTGATGGCAAATAGAAGTTGGCGTTTATTCTGCCACTAGCACTCTTTTGAGGAACAAAGTGGGCGACATTCTTAGTCTCTTTCCCGACTTTCTCAATCTTTTTTCTTGTTGAACATAACGATGAACAAGGCTGTCTGTAAGGTGGATCTTTTCTCCTTCTCGAGGAATTCTTTGTTGAGGATTATTCTGGAGAACTTATTAACTAGGGCCCCATTGTATTTCACATAAAGATGGAGCTTTCTTATCATATAACGTACGAAATGCTACGCATGCATCGATCGAAGCCAATCATTGTCAACCCCATTTCGAGAACCTCCCCCAGTTCCTCTGGTTAGTGATCATGTGTTGGTGGGCACAAACTTGAACCACTGGCCCTGTGGATTCTCCATGCACCCAGAATCATCATCCACACAGATACACTTCCTGGTCAAAACCACTGAAGATTCGTTCGACTTCTTCTCCAAGCAGAGGCGATTCCCATGTTCGTCCATGGCAGCTACGTGAAGCTTCGAATTGGAGATTGATCTCCAAGCGCTTTGCCGGCTCGAGCAGTCATCGGAAAGTGTTGCCACGAGCCCGTCGCCAAGGGCTTTGAGGCAGAGAGGAGTGCCCACTAGCCTGATTGGGCCACCATCTCGGTCGTGGCTCCACCTGCTCCAGCGGCACTCAGTCGCGCCGATCTCGTGGTTGTTATTTGCTCGGATGCAGTGGCCACTCTGCGGGTGGTACATAATGTAGGACATAGATGAATTGGAGCTTGGGTCTGCCCAAATAGAGTTAACAATGTTAACTAAATAGGTACGTTTCTATACAATAAGTGCCTAAATGGAATACGAATCGATTGTCAAGTGCCACCATAGCTAGAGAAGAAACTAAAGAGTCTCAAGTACATTTAAGAAAATGCTTTATCTTTGCTCCACTCAATGTGCCGACATATCTCAATCGCTAATTAACATCTATTTTATAAATAAACATTGGAGATTTGTTGAGACGTCGAATGGCACACCGTACAAATAAAAGGTCCATAATCCATTTTAACTATTTAAGCGAGAAACCTTACCTTGACTCATCGTCTGCACCATCTGAAATCTCTCCTTAAACTTTGGGTAGCGGAGCCCATCCCAATTGAAATCGAGCACCCCGAAGGTCTCTTCGGGCCCGGCGACCCCTTCCCGATAGTAATAGCTCCCCTGCAATACCCACAGGGCCCAGTCCAGGTCCCTCCCCGCGGCGTATCCCATGAAGCAGCTCAGGAACCGATCGTCGGCCAGGCTTTTCCCGCTCTGGTCAAACCCGAACTCTCCCAAGAACAGCGGGGCCGCGTCGGGGCCGCTCACGAGGAACCCGGCTTGGTCGTCCATCCTCTGCACAGCGTCAGCGCAGACCCGGTCCACAGGCTGGACCTCCCAGATCTTCCGGTCCCCGCTGAACGAGTACCAGTGGGCTTCGTAGACCAGCCTGCGGTCCAAGTTCAGGCCCATGGGCCTCTTCTGCAGGAAGCCGAGATCGGAGGCCCAACTCAGGCCCGAGACGATGACCAGCACATTGGGGTTGGCCTTGTGAACCTTGGTCGCTCCAGTGCGAACGTACTGGTACCAGTCGTGCTCGTTTTGACGGGAACCGCGGAGTTCATTTCGCATGCTCATTCCCACCACCTAAAATTGAAAAATAAAGAGGAAAAGCGATCACACGGCAAAGAGTTAGAGTTAGAGAATGACACAATTTCGCAACCTTTCTCTTCACATGCTTTAAAAACCATGTATGCAGCCTAAATCATCGGCACATCGTACCCGTACCCGAGTACCAAAACGTGGTTAATTTGGATCCCGTTAAGCTATTATATGAACCTGATAATGGATATTAAAGCACGAGAAGAACATGAAAGTAAATTCAGACGCTTCCCTTCCCCCCCCCCCCAAAAAAAAAAGGACAGTCAAGATTGCTTTCTTGTGGAGGAAAACAATTTTAAGGGTTCATTCGTTAGAAGGAAATTGTTTTTTGACTATCGGATATTTGGGTAATGGAAAACTAACCGATATATAAAAAACGTTTTCTATACAATGAAAAACAACAAGCTTGAGGTGTGTTTGTTTGAGTGAAAGAATATTCCACAAATTAGTTTTTTACACTTTCACGTATTTGGTTTGCTGAAAATGATGAATCGACGGAAAGGCATTTATCATCAAATAAAATATGTGTTTAAAGTTTGGAAAACGAGTTCCCTAACCTAAAAGGGGAAAAACAAAAAGTTTTTTTCTTTTAATCACGAAATTTTCCCCAAACAAACAAGCTCCAAATGGAAATCTAGTTGGAACAGTGCGATTCTTCGAACGTGAAGTGTTACCCGGTTTAAAGTTGAACCATTTTGGGCTTTGATGCGAGTGTTACTTCAACTTTTTTTGGTGAAGTGGTGCGTGCAGCTTAACTCATGCACGCTTTGTCAATTTGTGCAGCATATCCCTCTGTCTCTCTCTCTGTCTCTCTCTCTGTCTCTAGCTGTGGACTCATAGCCTCATAGGTGGTACCATAGTTGACAAATTGAACGGTGGGACAACGTTCGGCGTCGCACGCCCGAACCGTCCAATCTTTTAGGCGGTCCCCCATTACGCAAGAGACATCATTCGGAGGAAAAATGACAGACAGACAAATATGTGGAAATCAATATGGATAGGAGTAACTCCATCTTATTCCCGTTTCCTTTGAATTTTCTTCTGTTTTTTTTTTGCGACGGCAATACCGACGCAGTGACTACGAGAGTGCATGCTATAAGTGCAAGAACACGACTGTCTCGTTTTAAAACAATGAATTCTCGTATGAATAATTTCAGAAAACCGGCTTTCTTTTTCGTCTCACTGATGTTGGCTGTCGTGATATGAGTTCCATAATTGATTCCCGACCAAAAATGTCACTATCAGTAGTTCCATTGTTAGTCCAGTTCTATGTATTGTATAGTTGATGTAATCCGTCGCTAGACGGTGGTGGTTTCGTTAGCGACGCACCTGGCTCTTCCCGTTGAAGCGCCCGGCCACCGCGACGAGCCCTCTCAGCCACTCTTCGGGATCGAAATATTCGTCTCCGAAGAAGCCGTTCCCATCGTCATAAGGGCAGCACCACTTGGGCTTGCTCACGTGGTTGTCCAGCACCACCATCACGCCTCGCTTCCCGAGCTCGTCCACGACGGCGTCGTACGCCTCCACGTGCGTCATGTTCAGCACAAGTGGGTTGTTCCGGGCCACCCCGCCCTTGGCCTTCGCCAGCCCGAGGGCGTCGAGGGTCTCCTCGACGGGCCGCTCGCCGTGGCCCGGCTGAGTGAACATGTGGGTGGCCCACGTGAGGCGCACGCAGTTGAACCGCAGCCTCCTGATCTTGGCTACGATGTCGCCCAGGGGCTTCTTGTCGAGGCCCTCCGCGAGCATCGGCTCCAGGTGGGCGGCCCAGTTGACACACGCGAGCTTCACGCGCCGCCCCGTGGTCGCATCGACGATCCATCTTCCATCGGTCGAGAGCGGGAGCGGAGAAGTAGAGTTTATGAAGAGAACTAGGAGGAGATAGAGGATGAGAGCGGCCTGCGAAGATGATACTCGCATTTTAATGTTGGGGGAGAGAGCGCTATAGCTTGGACTCAAATATATGTCTTAGAAAATCAACGAGAAGTGCAATGTCAAACGTTGATGCTCAATCGACACAGAAGACCTACGACCATATATATAGCAGGGAGGCTCTTGTAGCCATAGATCACATGTTATCCTCACGAAGTGTCCCGACAAAATAAATTCATCTTTTTGGATATTTGATTGTACACGACTAGTAATTTTAGGCAGAGACATTCCCTTTCTTGAGCAATACATACGAATGTTGCTCTACCATAGAAATACGTGGAGTCATGAACACTAAGCATCCTAATAGTAATAACTCGTGGAACAAAAGGGCAATGAATGGTGTCAGCAGTCAAAACACTCACCATTTACATTTAATGAGGGCAACCTGTGCAATTTGGAGCTTGCGTAGTTGGTGAACACAGAAGACCAATTGCTACCAGCATTAGCATCTAAGAAGTGCAAAGTTGCTATTGCTACTGTTACCATCCGAGCTTACAGTTGACTCCAAGGAAAGCCATCCAAGTACGTTGTGCCGACATAACTTTACAAGCCATGCAATGAACACAAGCACTCAAGAGATTATAATGCCGGCCGCAAGCATAAAAGTAGTGGATGAATTTGCCAAACAGCTTGGAACTGAAGATTTGGACAGATCACTAAGTAAGACCAGAAGCCACTCAATTTTTTCCAAAGGTCTTCACTATGTCATTCATCAGTGAGTTGTGCCTAACATGCAGATTTTCCAAAAAGCAGAGAAGAAAAGTTATATCACTAGCTGTCGTACTGAAAATGGAAAATTAACTGAAGATTCTGAAAGAAAATGAAGACAGACCAGAAGCCACTCAATTTTTATAAAGGTCTTCACCAAGTCATTCATCAGTAGGTTGTGCTTAACAAGCAGATTTTCCAAAAGCAGAGAAAACTAATTATATCACTTGCCGTCATATGAAAATGGAAAATCAATGGCCTGCAAGGGCAGCATGTTGAACATCTTTGTACCAAAACGCCACAAAGTCGTCAAAACAAAGTAAAACTCAGAGCAGCTAATCTAAGATAGCTGCCATACTGCGGATTACACAAAACATATGCATCCAAGGTAGACAAAATGTGACAGTTTTATTTCTCCAATTCAACTGATCATCCCAACCAATTCAGCTAAGACAATCCCAAATTTTGCAACTTCACCAATAACGTCAGTGAACAGCATTCCCCAATCTACTTCTAGATACCTTGCACTCTTCCATCTCCATCAAAAACTTTGTACTACGAAGAAAATCATGTTGCTGGGCCAAAAATCCATCTATGCATGCTGAACAGTGCATCGCTGAAACTGAGGGGGACCATGCTCTATCATATGTAGCTGAGAAGAATCCGAATTAAGAAGAGCTTATTTTCTCCTCTGGTCAGAGACTCTGGCTCCCATGATTTTACAGACAGGCTCATCTTTCGACTGAAGAAGCTTCAAAGCAGGGTGAACCTTGAGATCTCCCATCACCAACTTCTGGCCAACATCCAACTCGCTCAAGTCCACATCAATATACGGAGGGATTATGTCTGCGGGGCACAGGTACTTAACTTTCCTCTTAATGGTATTTAAAGAAGCACCTGTAGAAATCATTAGGGGAATTAACACTTTGACCGACCAGCACCAGGGTCATGAACAATGGAAACAAAACAATCCACAACATGAACTTATCCAACTCAAATATTGGATGCTGATTTCATATGACAATTAACTGAAATAAGTGAGCTAACTATTACCAGTGTAGAAAAATACTAGAAACCAATTAAACGGTTCTGATTACAGTTTAACATTGTAGAAAATATAAAAAAATTTCTAAGCCACATAAAAATCACCATTTTGTGGCAGGTCTCGCCATCACTGCTAACCTTAAGATAATATTGAGCCTTAATCAACTCGTGGACATGAGAAGAACACAAAATATCAAACTATGTCTCCAAGAAGTAAGCAGTGCAGCTTGCTTACTCAATTATAGCACTTACGTAAGCAATGTTTATCAGTAGCTAACCACTCCCATCCTTAATACAGAAGTTACTGAATTCCATTCCAATTATGCTTTCAAGGACAGCAACCTTTAGAAACCATAGATGGATTTGACAGAAAAAAATTAGCTAGCACCTCTGTTCAACATATAGCTGTATCACATAATAGGGACTTTAGGATCCATAACTACTTCCCGACGAGAAACTAAGATTCCGTGCAAGATGGAAGTTCATCTTCTGGACAACAACCAAGGTGCCCTTCCTAGGACTTTTTATTTTTGGATAAACAGAACATCACAAAAGCTCCACATAAGTCATTGATTCTATTGACTGCCCATGGTTATCGAGTTAAAGTGCATACACCACAACAGTTCAAGAATCATATTCTATTTAAATAAGTTCAAACATCATTCATGCAATGCATATTAAACAACTTTTATAGAAAGAATCGATCGATGAGAAGAGTTCAGATGCCAGCAAGTATACACGTATGATCAGCCGAGACATTATCACAATTCACATCATGGCATTGCCAATTCAGCTTCAGATTGAATTTATCACATCATACCTTTCCTTAGCCCGGGACATACATCGTCTCCTCTGTATATGAGAGGGACTTCAACCTTCAATAGAGCATGTGAGGGGGCTCTGATGAAGGTTACATTTAGAGGTGCTTCTGTACCTGAGTGCAGATGAAGCTGACACAATGACGAAAAAGAAGGAATTCAGAGGTTTGATTGAATGAAATACTATTTGTTATCTCTTTTCTAGCATCGTGAACAATTTGCCAAGGTAATGCAATCCAACACTAAAATGGGCAATAACACACCAAAAGAGAGAAAATGAACTTGATAATCACTCAAATAGAAATAAATCAATGAATGAAACATTATCTAGATACCACAACTATTGAAAATTGAATGCACGACTTTTGGTGATATAACTCACTAAATAATTTAGTGTTTAACCAGAGAACTGCTATTTGAGCTCCAACTGTAACATTCAAACCCCAAAGAATGCAGAAAAGCCTTGATTGTCAAAAGAACATGAAATTGGTCGTCAATCTACAGGTGATTGCTCATTCTGCATTCAACCAAGAGGGCTCTAATTACTTTAGGTCATTCTGAACAGGACAGCACATTAGAGGATCACCAGCTTCTTTTCTCTTCCCTTCCAACGTCAATGTCAAACTAATCTTATAATTCTAGTTGCCCTGAAATTTCTCAGAAAGCATCAAGACTTCCACTAGTGATCATCCTAAGCAGAACAAACAACTACCTTCTTCTCCAACTTTGCTAATTCTTAATCTGAAACCAACAAATACTACGAAAACACATCAACAACTGAATCTCACTTAAATATCCACACTCTTCAGACCGCATTTCCCACTAACAGCCTAGCCAAAAAAAAAAAGCAAAGTGAACGAATGTCAACTGAATTTCAATTAAATTCCACGTACATTTTACACAAACACACTTCCTCGGCAACCCAAAAGCTTAAAAAAGGAAAAAAAGCCTGACCTTCCTCGGCAAGACCCGGACCTTCTCAACGACCTCGTCGGACTCGAACTCCGCCCGGACCTCCAGGTCGAAGAGCCGGGAGAGGAAGAAGGAGTAGCCGAGGTGGTTGACGAGCTTCCTGATCTGGTTGGCCCTCACGGAGATGAGCCGCTTGTTGCCCCCGTGCTGGCCGTCCTCCTGCTCGAAGACGATGCTCGGGACGCGCCCCTGCTTCCGCTCCTTCGCGGAGGAGCTCGTGCCCGCGGCGGCGCGCGGGATCGCGAGGATGGTCTCGTCGTGCTTCGGGTCGGGCCTGGGGAGCCCCTCGAGGTACGCGAAGGAGGGGGGCTCGTCGAGGGCGGCGGCGGCGAGCGCGGAGGCCGGCTGCGTGTAGCGGCGGTGGCGGAGGCGGAGGGACTTGGCGAGCACGGAGCGACAGAGGAACATGCTTGGCCTCGTTGCGTAAGCCTGCGCGAGAGAATGACAGAGAGAAAGAAATGGTGGAGCGATGGAGAAGACGATGGCTCAGAGGGTTCTGGGGAGGGTTTGTGATCATTGTGGGCCGTTCGATTGAAACAATATGGGCCGGGCCCACTTGAAGCATGGGCTTTTTTTAATGAGGAAGTACGGTGTCACAACGGGCCTTTTGGGCCACAAAGAGATAAAAGCGGTCGGGCCAGGCCCAGACCAGGCCCGTGGCATGTCGAACCGTGCCGGTCAGGCCCCCTTTTTGTCAAGCTTTGAATTCTAAACTCGAATCAACCGGTGCCGAAAAGAGACTCGTCACTCGAGACAACTTTTTTTTTTTGGGTCTGACCTATCTCTATAGCTCTTCTCTCTCTCTCTCATTTTTGTTCTAACTTTTCGCAGAGGAGTCCAACTCTGCACCTATCATAATAGCCTCCCCACCCCCCAATACCTTTACCATTCGGGCTGGGATACCTATTGGCATCAATAGGGCCAATTTGAAATCAAGGAAAATCCGATTATCACTTTTTGTTTTTGGTCGCGTCTTCAAAATTTGGAAATCAAACCACTGTACATCTCCATAAAGTGACGAAATACGATCGCATGATACTACGTATAAATTGTTATGCGATAGATTATCATTTATGTCTTGCGTTAGAAAAGCGAGTGCAGTCCGGCGATGAAATCGAACCAGCCGACGGACGGTCCGGTCCTGATCCCAGGTTGTGTCGGCGGGGGCAGAATCTAAGGGCCCCGAAAGGAAAGAGCAAAGCGAGATAGGTTAAAAGAATACTGAATATTTCGTCGTGTAGGCCACGTCTCCCCGGGAAGATTCTGGTCCACAGACGCATTGCCGTCCCATTTAATGCAATTTTCCGAAAAAAAAAAAAAAGGTTCAACAAATAATTAATTATTTCTTTTTCCCTATTTTTCTTAGCCGCTAAAGGCTACGATTTCCTTGCGCCCCCCACTTTATGTCATGCGATCCACCCGGAAACATACCGAAAGGAATAAAATAAAACGGGAGAAAATATCAATTTCCAATATATCATATCGGCCACTAGATCGCCGGGCCCCACGCATCGCGAGAAGCCGATCCACGTGTCGAGCATCTGGTGGAGGGGGCGATCGCGTCATTCGTACACTCGGTGTGCACGGCGCCCGTTCGATCCTCCGCCCTCTGATTTCAAAACTACCCCGCATCTGCCACCTGCTCCTTTTTCTCGTTCCGATCCAATAAGCTCGAACCAACGGCCCGGATCCGTCTTCCCAAATCGACGGTCGAGATCGGCTCTGTTATATACCGGGGGGGGGGGGGGGGGCCACTTTGTCCTGCGCTTCGTATTCTGCGTTGTTTCTGGAGAGAGAGAGAGAGAGAGTGAGAGAGAGTTTCGGCAAGGAGGAAGCTTTCCCGACTCGGTAGGCGTTGTCGAAGTGCGTCGGAGGGGATTAGGGTTTGGTGCGGTGATTTTCGTTCCCGGGGTGGGGGGACCTCTGCCTGATTCCGATGGCCGATCACGAGGAGGCGAAGGGCGGCGAGTCGCTGCTGGACAAGATCTCCGAGAAGATCCGCGGCGGCGGCGGCGGTTCGTCCTCGCCGTCCGATTCCGACGACGACAAGCCGTTGGAGGCGGCGAAGGCCCAGGGCAAGGCGCCGCCGTCGCCGCCGCCGCCCAAGGTCTTCCGCCTCTTCGGGAGGGAGCAGCCCGTGCACAAGGTCCTCGGCGGTGGCAAGCGTAAGTGGAGCGATGTTCGTATCGTTTCGTTTGATTTTGTCGCCGTTTTCTCTGTTCTTCTTTTGTTATCTTCCGGCTTCGATTGTCCTCTTCTGCGCAATCGAAATGTGAATCTAAGATCCGAACGCGGCGCGGTATCTGCTTTTATGCCTCCTTTTGCTTGTTAATCTATGCGTTAAATTATAGAGATTTCGAGGTATCAACTGGCTCAGCGTGCATAGGGATTTTGTCGCTTTCGCGGTTGATTTGCTGCTTCTCGATCCCTTTCGGCCGATTATTTTAAATTCGCGCTGTCTGCCTTGTGGTGTATGCATCAGATTTGATCAAAGCGTTTCAGATAGTTAAATGATTTCCTGTTATTCTTCCGAATCTGATTGTGCAGATGCTTTTCTCCATAGTATTTGTTTTAGTTCTTCTCTACTGAGTTGCTGAGGGAGTGGGGACCTGGATCTACTTCATTTCTGATAGCTAGTATGGTAGAGAGAGTGTTGATCTTTGGTTTGGCCGTACTTGAACAGAGTGATTGTAGTAGGCAGATGCTTTATTCATCTCGGTAGGTTTCCGAGCTACCGTAGTTTTTTTCGCAGATGCTAATTTTCTTTTTAAATGGAAAAGTTAATCACTTGATACCGGTGGTAGTTACTAACAAGTGAGATTTCATAATTGCCATAATGGGAAGATGTTTTGGTAATAGCAGGGAAAGAAATCTTGGACCTGTATATTTGTAATGCATACTGAACAGAGTTTGTTTGATTCGTCTGGCACAACAGCGGCTGACGTGTTCCTATGGAGGAACAAGAAGGTATCAGCTGGCGCGCTGGGTGTTGCGACTGTGATATGGGCTCTGTTCGAGTTGGCGGAATACCACCTGCTAACTTTGGTTTCCCACTGCTTGATTCTCGCTCTGGCGGTCCTGTTCTTGTGGTCTAATGCGCACACATTTATCCACAAGTAAGTTTTTGAGAAGTAAAAGTTGTGAACTTTTGCGAAAGGACTGAATTTGACATGCGTAATAGTTTTTTTGTTTGCCCTTGTTTAGGACCCCACCGCGCATACCTGAAGTGTCTATTCCAGAGGAGCCAGTCTTACAATTTGCATCTGTACTGAGACTTGAGATAAACCGGGCGTTCTCTGTATTGAGGGATATTGCATCTGGAAAAGATCTTAAGAAGTTCTTATTAGTAAGTTCTTTTCTCGTTTCAGTGATGATGTGAACGGAAATGATTTTCAATACCCTTGGTTTTTGTTTAATCTGAAGCGATATATCTCGGTGTTTGTCTTTTTGATTCTGGGTTTTACCGATGGTCGCGAATTTGATGATGAATTAGGTGATTGCGGGCTTGTGGCTATTGTCAATCGTGGGCAAGTGGTGCAACTTCTTAACCTTGTTCTACATAGGTAAGTGACTGGACTTGGGCAATCGACCGGTTATAAATAGCAGGTGCTCATGCTAAACGTTTCTATTGTGTGAACAGTCTTTGTATTGCTGCACACTGTGCCTGTGCTGTACGAGAAGCATGAGGACAAGGTCGATCCATTTGCGGAGAGGGCAATGGGTGAACTCAAGAAGCAGTATGCTGTCTTCGACACCAAGGTCTTGAGTAAGATCCCAAGGGGGCCGTTGAAGGATAAGAACAAGGTGGCTTGAATCTGGCTGGCCCATGTCTTTTAATGAAAGAATTTGGTAGCTTTGGTGTTCTGTCCATGCTCTGTGAAATTTATATTTATTGTCTAGAACCCAGTCTTCATCTTTTGTTTCTCCGAGTCTTTGGGTTCACCTGAAATGGCACTATTTACACTAGGTTATGCTGCTGCTTATGGGTTTATAAGCTTTAGGGGTCATATGGTCAATGCATTGTACATCGGTTGAATTTACTTTTATGGAGAAATAGTCGTTAGTTTGGCTTAGCGCTTGTTGGACTATTGTGGGCCAATATAAAAGTCGAATTGGTAACATAATCAAATGCGTTTTAGTAAAGCATGAAATCTCCAAAATGCGACTTCCAGGAGGCGGAAGAGGTCTAGTTATGCTTTTATATTCCTGCTGAAGGACAGGTCATGGTAACGAAAACGATGGCGGTGGAAAACTTTGCCGTGATTTTGCGTAAGTTGCTGCGCTGACTGCTCTGTAATTTCCCGTGATCCTCAAGGAGGATTTGTTTTTGAATTGCTGCTAGACAGATTATAATTTGAGGTCCCTGTCTGGGTCGGTTCTCGGTATTTAATTGGGAGGATGAATGCTCATCGTGAATGGAAAGTTGACGAAGACATTGTTAGATGACAGCTTCCGGTGTCGTGCGATTTGTCCGTGGAATGGGCCGGTTGAGCGGTCAACTTTAACGGACTTGCAAAGAAGTTGCCGAAAGAGCGACTTTCTCGTAGTCTACTAATAAAGCTTTGAGTAGAACAAAGCTCTTAAAGAAAACGGAAACGATGATACTGCGGCTGGTGGCAGTTTTCATGGACTTAGCAACTAAGAAATAACTTGGTTGTCCTCGCGGGCTGCTCCTTTGACTTGATAAAAAAGTAGGAAAACGGCCCGCATTGAATTCGTTGTGCGATAAGGATCTTTCCATCCGATTAGAATGAGCGAAGTTTGAGCTAGCGATGTCCAACTGGACCGGGTTTACTTGCGAACTAAATCGGACCATCCGAAAAATAGGTTCAGAAATCGGTTTCATTTCGTGGGAATCGGTTGGAATCTATCCAGTTCCAAGTGAACGATCCACTCGGGAACCGGACCAACTAGACTGATTTTGAAAACGGTTTGTAGCTTGTGTTGAAAAAAAAAACACTAGCTTACTAAGCTCAGTGGCCGCGCCTCTCTCTCTCTCTCTCTCTCTCTTTCAATCCCTTTCTCTTCGCGCGAGCCTATCCTACATCAAGCTTAGGCTGCGCATGGCAATCATTCTGTGCCCGGGAACAGATTTGCTCAGAAATGATTCTTTTTTATTCCGTGCTTAGGAACAATTTCTAAGCATTTGAAGGCGTTTGGTAACTGCCCAAAATTTCTATTCTTAGAATAAAAAAAGAATAGAAATGTGTTTGGTAACTACACAAAATTTCTTTTTATTAATAATATTTTGAATTTTTTAATATTTCTTTCTTTTTTTTCCTTGGCCATGGCCGATCACTGGCGCAACAGGCCAGGGCCGGTGCCGACGAACCGGCAACAGGCCAGGGCCGGTGAGGGCGTCACGACCCTCGTTGCTGGCCTTGCCGGTCGCGACGGCGAGGTCGGCCTCGCCAGATCACGGCAAGGTCGAGCCTCACCCGGCCAAGGCGAGGCCAACCTTGTCGTCGCCACCCCCGGTGACGGCGAGGTCGATCTCGCCAGATCACGGAGAGGTCGAGCCTTGCCCGGTCAAGGCGAGGCCGACCTTGCCGTCGCCACCCCCCGCAACGGTGAGGTTGACCTCGCCGGATCACGACGAGGTTGAGCCTCACCTTGGCTGGGCGAGGCTTGACCTCGCCTAGATCTGGCGAGGCCGACCTCGCCGTCGCCGGGGGCGGCAAGGGCCGACCTCGCCATCGTTGGGGGAGGGGACGGCAAGGATCGCCCTCGCCGGCCCTGGCCGGTGGCCGGGCGCCGATGGACGGTTGTCGGCAGCTGGGCGGGAAGAAGATGAAGAATAAATAAAATAGAAAGAAGAAAACCAAGAAGAATCGGAAATGGAAAAATTGTTCCAGAATCAAAAAGCTACTTTTTTTTGCTTCTTGATTCTGTTTCAAAACTGATCCTGAGAACAATTTTTTGCAAATTTGTGTCCGGGCACAAAAGTTTTAACAAACGGATTTCTCTTCCCAAAATAATTCTGAAAACAAAAGAATAGAAATTTTTACTATTTGACAAGTTGCCAAACGCCCCCTTAATCATCAAGGTCTTGGCGTCCGCCTCTATCTCGTTCATCTTCTTCTACTTGGGCAAGCACTGGTCTGAGTCCGACGGCTATGGCCAGCTCATCTGCTCCTCCTCCTCCTCCGCACCTCATCAGAGGCCTCCCTCCGTCGCTCTCTCCCGGAATTTCAACAAATCCTTTGACGTCTCCTCCCTCATACCTCATAACCAAACTCTAGCCCTCCTGCCACCGCCTAGTCCGCTGTTGTAGGAGGGGACCGCAGCCGCATCTCCTCCTTCACCTCCGCCGGCGATCACGAGGTTCGGGATCGTCGACGAGAATGGGACAATGATTGACGATTTCGAGATAGGGGAGTTTGATCCGGAGTTTGTGGACAAGGGGACGAATAATGTGACTAAGAATGAAGGGACGGGGAGTGAGAAGATTGGGGTTTAGGTTCAGAAGTACGAGCTTTGCCCGGAGAGCATGAGGGATGGAGCCAGTACATACCTTGTTTGGACAATGTGGCGGCCATCCACAGGTTGAATTCAACATAGAGAGGCGAGAGGTTCGAGTGACGTTGTCCGAGAAAGATAAGGGATTGAGTTACTTGGTTTCGCCTTCAAAAGGGTACTAGCCTCCAATTCCTTTGTTGGAAAAAATGAAACCAGCAAACGAAACAAAAAAAAAAAAAAAACAGGTTTTGAGTAGACCCTAGAATCGGACCGGAAAAGCAAAGTAGGTTCCAAAATAGGTTCAAAGACAAACATGGTAATTTCCAAATTCCAAAAACTGGAACCACCAGTTATGACAAAATAGGTTCGAGGCCACTCTGGAACCGATCACCCTTAGTTTAAGCCAACTAGGGATCGTTCGACCCCAGGCAACGTAATCTGAGATTGCACAACCCAAGGCAATGCCGCTTGAGGTGGTTGGTCAGCAGAGGCTAAGTTTTGTTAGAACAGTTTGAGAATTTTAAAAATAATATAGTAAAAATCCTTTCTAAAGTGTAGTTTAATCCGAAAGACATTTTAAGTCAAAATTGCTTCTCAACGTGTTTTTAAATTATATTTTACAAAATACTATTTGCATTTTCGGAAACCCTTTTGACCTAAAGTCTTTTGCATTTTCCTAAAAGCTATCTCCAAAAGCCAAACCAAACACATCTATAGTTATGCCGACCAGTGTTTTCTCGCCGCATGCATCTAGCACCTTATAGAGGCAATACACCATCGACTAAGACTGCTCATATCTGCATTCGAACATACTCGGTTGTTTCGCATACATATTCAAAGTTCCTGGATCAATTAGAGATGTAACTTTTGCATCATCCGTGCCTGACTTCTCAATAGAAGTCGCCATATGAGGAGTCGATAAATTCTATTCTCCGGCCGAGGAGCTCCTATTAGATGCAAACATCTCCATCCCCCATGCAAAGTAGTAAAAGCACGCGAAGCAGCAGCAGTACAAGCATATAATTTTTCACAGCCGAAGCAAGCGAATTCTTACTTGCACCAGTTCTAGTCCCGCAAAGCCCTATCTACCTGTCATCCGACACATACTGCTACTAGTACTACATCGCCACATAGTTCATTAATATTCAAGCATTTTCTCTCTCGAGAGGTTCTTCATCGTCCTCTTGCTTATTTCGTCACCCTATAGACTCTTCACCTTGGTTTGGCAGCAACAAGCCACAGAGTTCCCAGGTTTACAAATTGCAATCAGATCATCAGAATCTCAGTATAGGACAAGTAAACTATATTTTGCAATACACTAGGACTCAGAGGAAGTATGTTAGCTGTTGCTTCTTCCTCGAACCGCCGTCCCCATACAACTCGTTCCACTGTTTCAACTCGCTCATGATTGATCCCCCAGCTGCGAAACTGGCTGCAACCTGCGTGACATAAAGCAATAGAAGAATGGCAATTTCAGTAATACTCCTCCAGGAAAAAAAGTATGCAAAACATTTCAATGAGGATCATCCATGTCACAATTAAGAACTAATTACCGAGTAATTTCTGCAATATAATTGAACAAGAAATGGCATGTACAAGTTGGCCAAGGAACTGCTACATTTCCAGCGTTCTTGGTTGAAAAAGAAAAAAAGACAATACCAACAGGTTCAAATGCAAATTACCTAGATGGGCATCGATTAGTTTTAGTTTCAGAGAGAGGGAGAGAGAGTTGTTACCTGATTTTTGGCTTGCGTGAAGTCTTCCATGTTCAGAGGCCTGAAAGTCAAAGTTATTTCCTCTTCACTTTCTCTTTTTGTATCCTGATTACCTTCTTCACTCGCCACCCCTGCAGCTCTCTCGTTTTTCTCCTGCTAAGGAGAGAATAAGACCCATTGAATAGTTACATTAATCAATCATCTTACATAGAGTTGTCGCAGGTTCACCATATTTTTCCATTTTAATGAATTCATTAGCACTGTTAATGCGCTTACCAGCTCCTTTACTCTTTCTTGCTGAATTAACTCCCTCACTGGCCGGTAAGCAGCTGTTGTGCACAAGTTCTGCAACAAAACAATCTTGAGTCAGTGACATCTAATTCACAACAAATCCTAGAACAACATGCAACACGAGAGACAACCTTAAGATCACTTCCACTGTATCCTTCAGTCATGGTTGCAAGCTCCTTGAAATCTAGTCCTTCTTCAACCCTCTCTTTTGCGAGAAGTGTTCTAAGTATCATTTCCCTGTTCTCCAAGCTTGGAAGCCCGACCATGATCCTGAGCATAGGAGCAATCATCACTAAGAACTTATCACATCGTTGATACTTAAGCTAAAACTATTCTACTCTTTTACAAGCACCCAAGCAAGAGTACCTTCGCTCAAAACGTCTGATAATTGCTTCATCAAGGTCAAACGGCCTGTTGGTTGCGGCAAGCACGAGAATGCGTTCACCTTGTTTTGTCAACAGGCCATCCCAATGAGTCATGAACTCATTCTTTATCTTCCTCATTGCCTCATGCTCCCCCGCTCTGGTCCTTTGCCCTAGCATGCTATCCACTTCATCTACGAAAATTATAGTCGGGGACACTTTGGCAGCTAGAGTGAATAGAGCTCTGACGTTTTTTTCGTCCTCCCCGAACCATTTCGACGTTATGGTTGACATAGATACGTTGATGAAGCTGGCTCCTGCCTCTTTGGCGATAGCCTTGGCTAACATTGTTTTCCCTGTACCAGGGGGTCCAAAAAGCAATATTCCTCTGCACGGTTTCAGAAGGCCGCCATGAAATAAGTCTGGTCTCCGAAGCGGGAGCATCACTAGCTCTTGAAGGGATTCTTTGATCTCATCCAAAGCACCTATATCGGCAAATGCGACACCGATCTCATTCGCTGGTATAACCTCTGGCCTTATACGCTTCTCAAATTCATTGTCAGGAGGTACTTCCTACAACAAGAACGATGAGCAAGCACACCTTCCATCCAAACATAGTCTTTCAACGAACAAGAGTCCTTGACATTCGAGAATTATTACATTCTGAAATGCAACTGAAAGAAAATTCCTCTTCTTTTCTATTACAGCGCAAGGGATTATTCTCATAAGGTTACATGATGGAATTTTGCAAAAACTACAATATAAACATGAATTAAATGACAACAAAAACTTACTGCATGTTTGGATGGTGTCACTGCACTATCACCCTCTGTCTTTGAGGCTGTTGTTGATTCTCTAGTTCCACCTTTCGTCTCAGTTCCACTTTGCTTCTCAGGAGTGGGAACTTCGGCTTTTGTTTCTGGCTTCACAGTGGTGTCACCTTCCACTTTGGCTTCCTATTTGAGTCATATGAGTACAAGCATGCAAATTTAGTACTCTCCTTGATGATATCGATGTTTCAGCATACCTTAGACTTTTCAGCATGAGTTTCTAACTTCAACATATCTTTTCCACTAGATTTGCCTTCTTGGAATATGCTCAGTCCGTGGGACAAACTGTCTCAAGTCAAATTAATGACTATTTAGCACACCAAGGAAAAGGAAATGGCTGAAATACATTCTAAAATAGCAACATAACAATATTAATCTTGCCTCTCTGATGAAATGAGAAGCTTCCCATTCCTGTACTCCGGATCCTTATTGTTCATCAAATGATAAGATATAGCCGACATGACAACCTCTTCTATGTAATTACTCAGAACCATTGTATCAGCCACGCAAACTGATTCCAGGTCATCGCAATCGAGATCATTTGCTGAAAGGACTTCCATAATGTGAATTCGATTGTCCTGAACTTGAATCATCTTCATATCATCCTCTAACTGAGACTTCCAGCTGACAAGATGGTTTTGATCTTCTGGAGGCCTAATCTCGATGTTGTAGGGGAAAAGAGCAGCAAGCCTATCATCTACCTCGCCATAGTCATTATCCGGATCCAGAATTCGTGAGCCAAGGATGAGGACTGATCCAGACAGCTTCTTCAGCATTTTTTGGAAAAAGTTGTTTATCCTCCGTGATCTAGAAAAAAGCTTCTTGACATCCCTAAGATACAGCACTATGGGGCTGGATTTTGATACAAATGCCAATACCTGCAAGAACCATCCATGGCATTAGATAATAAAAAGAAGAAAAATAAAAACTTAGTTCCTGACTTGGTGCTATGTTACTGCAATACTGTAATTGGCTTCCCAGGATCCTGAAGCATGAATATAAATGACAGATTGATCCGAAAAGAAAAACTACCTTGTAAAGAGATTGAATAAGAAGCTTCTCGTCAAAAGACAAGCTGCTTGTGCGCTTGAGAGGAGCTAAAAAGGGGGAATAACATGAGAAGCCAAATAAGAAACAAGACTTTCACAGACGAAGGAAGAACTCTCTTAATAAGTATGAAGGGTACTATGAAATGACTATCACCTATGAATATGGTAAAATTCACCGTTATCCTAGAATTTTCTATAAAAACCAATCATCTGTGTCCACCATGAAACACTAGAAGCTTTAAAAATCTTGAGTTCCGCCAAAAGAAACTACACAGAAAATGATCAAAATCTTAGCCAGCAATGCAGAGCCAATTAGCCACCATGCAAAGAACAAAATTTGAAAGATTAGACTATCTACCATTAATAAATAAATTATAAAAGAGAAATTTATGAAACTTAATCAGCTTTTTCCCATCCAACTAAAGATTAGATGCAAGAGAAGACAAAGCTTAGCAAAAATTTTGCATGCAAAAACCACATTTTGCTTATGTAGAAGTGAGCTCTATGACGGAGATAGTGCCAAAACTCCAAGAATCGTTTATATCTATGCATAGCACTCTTTAGGAAAAGAAACTTACGAACTACTTCTGGGCTCACCCAGAGCTAACATTATAAATAACTATGAGACCATGAAGTGATATGGAGTTGAAGACTCCAGTCTGATTAGGTGATTACCCAACAATTTGCCAGTTTAATAACAAATCACTTAAACAGCACACATCATGGAAAAGCACAGTCAAGAAACCTGGATTAGAAGAAGCAAATTGCGTCGCGAGGTTACTGATATTAGCCGAGGCCGAGGCATTTCTACGAAGCTTCGGTGGATTGCAAGGACCTTCAGTCCCCCTGGAATTCCCAAGCATGCTTATATATGTAGATGAAAAAATAATATCGACAGTAGAACGAGAGAGCAAATACAATCTATATATTTCCTACTACTTTCTGCTTAAGATTACCTTGATCCAATGTCCACACCACTGCTTTGCCTCCTTAAGTTCCCTGCACGAGAATGTTATTGTAGCTAAGAACAACTAGCAAATCAAGTAAGCTAGTGAAAGTCGATTTCAGCATTGTCAGAAGAATGCTCCAACTATTTATCCAGACAAAGCTTGTGACCTCTACATTGAGTTCTAGTTCATCCTTTTTGTCAGTACCCTTTGAAAAGAAACCAAATGTACTGATGAAGGATTCGTTCAAATGGTGAAACAAGAAGAAAAAAATACCAGAAAGGTCCAACTACCCTTGATCAAGGATTTGATGAAGCCCAAAGGAAAGGACAAACAAAGCGGCAACTACTCCTGTACTAAATAACCCGGTGGACCAGATAAAACCTCCGATCCAAGATGTCTATTGTCAGAATTTCTTGACCAAATAGATCCATGTTTCTCTTAAAACATTAATGCCTATGGTACTTCACCAATCTATGTCAAAAAAAGACAGATTAGAGTCCAAGAAAGCATGTATCGTAGCATTGCTTATTTCTCAGGACAGCTCAACACTGTTTACGGAAGAATATCATACAAGGTGACACTGCCTCACATGTGATATGTGTGTTCAACGAAAAAGAGCCACCTCTAAAACACAACATAAACCTCTAAGCAGAAGCAAAGCCACCACCTTGGCGTACCTTTTGCTTCCTCCTTTTGTGAAAGGATTGAAAAAGATCCAAGTAAGCCAGACAACCGCTCCAGTGTTGACTCTGATGGGGATCTTTTGAAAGACTAGATAGCAATAATACAAATTAATAGAATAAATCTGGAAGCCAAAGTCTACCTAGTATACTAAAGCATATCAAATCACGGTACATTGACACTTCATCAATGGTAAAGCAACGTCCATTTTCAAGTGCTCATGTGTTGGATCAAGTCAAACAAGCACAAGTATACAAGACAACAAAATTGATCGAGTCAAGATAAGAAAACAGATGGACATACATATTCTTTGTTCGCGGTTCCATATTTACTCTGGATCTGCAAGGAACATCATAGATTTTAGAATGAGAACAAAACCGAAACCAACATGTATACATTTACTCCATACACCTACCTTCAGAGAAAAATCCGTCACATCTAGCAGCAGCAACTTGGCTTCGAAGTAATGGGCAAGAGCCTTGGCAAGCATTTGTTGGTAAAGCTCTTTAAAGTCATTACGAAAGAGAGAAGAATTATTTTAGAGTCTGCAATGACCATGCACAAACCAACATATTGATATATAATAGATTCACAACCAACCTGCAGGTCCAGAGAGCAAAATGGCGCGACTAGCAGGTGAAAGATTTCTTGTGTACTTAGAAACTTCAGCATGCTTCAAATGAACATATGCAGCACTAGTCAACAAAACTCGCGTCTGCTCACTGTTGTTGCAGTTGGAATATGAGAAAAAGGCAAGTAGCTATGAATCGACAAAAGTGGAAAAAAAGAAAAAACTGAAATAGCAGAAGTCAAGGGAGGCCCTCAAAGTCTCACAAAACAAAGAATCATGAATACTCATCGAAGACATAGAGAAGCACACCAGACACCTCCCACTCTATAGAAAGTTTGATAATTCAAGTATCTCCATGATCATTCAAGTACAAATTGATAACCGAGCTTCCAATTAAAAAATTCAAATGATAAAAACCCATTTCTTCCCATAGACCTTTGACCATTGTGAGAATTTTCACAAACTATAACATGGACATTGTTAGGTTTATTTTAGTACACATTCAAGAATTTTACCATTAAACTACAATACACGAAACAAACCAGAGAACACTCACACTGATCTCGAACTGTTCGTTCTTGATTCCATGCACTTTCATTTATAAAATTTTATAAAGCATATTGACGTAATCTTTGCTTTTTTTTTAACCCTCTCAATCTCCCATAAAGACTAATAGCACACAAATACGTGTGGCATGAGAAATTCAGAATTAGTTCAAAATAAAACCCCAAAGTTTTCTACATGAACCTTAAGCCCTGAAGTCTCATTCATCAATATTTCGAAAAATAGCTTTCTTTGTCACCTGGCTATTTTGCATAAGCTCTCCACTAAGGATAGGATGAAGAATGTTGCTGTCAAAGATGACTGTGTTCTTTGTGGAGCTGATGTTGAATCAAGGAATCACTAAATTATGGAGTGTATAATAGCTGAGAAAATCTGGAGGAAGAGATATGAGAAATGTGGGATAAACAGAGGCTTGCTTATTTGGAATTCCAAGTTGCAATGGGCATGTACTACTCGAAAAAGCAATTCTACTCCATGTCTCATCTTCAAGGTTGCCTGGTGTGCAGCACTTTATTATCTATGGATGGCCAGGCAAGAAGATCCGTGAAGACAGTTTTGTTGTTTTGAGCAATGTTAAATTTTCCCAGATTCATTTTAATGTTTATTATAGATACAAAAGAATGATAAAAAAAGTATAGGCTCTTCCTCTCAGTAGATAGCCATTTGCAGGAACTGGAGGTTGATGCCATAAATGATTTGTTGGAATTTGAACATTTTTTGTAGCAGAGATCCTCTGCTTTGTTTATGATATCAATATCTCACTGCTGACCCAGAAAAAAGATATTTAATATCCACAAAGAGCAACAGTTCACCTAAGCAGTTGAAAATTATAAAAAAACCACAGATGCCAAAAAAATCTGGATAAGAATGTTATATTCCTCAAGGATAAAGGGCAACAAAACCAAGAGCAGCAATTTATAGGAAAAACAGGCACACACAAAGAGCAGGCCAGAAATCAATTTGCCAGGATCACTAAAGACCAAACAATATTAGGGTAAACTCCTAAAAACAAAAGAAAGGTAATGAACAAACTGGCCAGGGCTTCACTGAAAACAGACTTGCTTTATTCGAGGACACCTCTTTTTTTAAAGATATTATCTGTATTCTGTTCGCTCACGATGTCTAGATATTACCAAGACATATCATAGCGATTAAGTTCCACTAGAGAATCCAGAAAAACAGTGTCGTTCCCTATCTGACATGATTATATATATTTGTCTTAGCCTGTAGGACCAAAAACCAATTAAATTTTGACCCATATCATTTGGGCAAGGCCTCTTTAGGACCAGGTGCAATAATCAACCCTGTCCAATCAAGTGGGACAGATGCACATGAACACACAAGTATCATTACAAAAGAGGAAAAGAGAAACACTGAAAAAGTGAGGCCCAGACAATTCTTGCACCAGCGTTTGTTCCGTCTTCACAAGAATATCCATTTGTTTGTTCAACACTATTATAATTGGGTTGCATTCACTTTTCTCTAAAAAGGGGAAAAAAACTTTCTAACCAGAGATGGAAGCGAGAGAATGTCATTGTGACCTGAGATAGTAAGGGAACTGGTCGAAAGTGACTTTGCTCTCTCTGCCATCAACCACCAGCCTGAGCATCTCCTTCTCCACTCTTTCAGCAGTGGCCTGGTCTGAGGAAGAAGCGTTATTCGCCCATTTGCTCACTGTTTGTCCTGATGCTATTCCCAGCCCCACCCCAACTCCTACTCCTACACCTATTGCTGACAGCAATATGTGTTTCTGTTCCATTGCCTGCTCTTTCTTTCTCTCTCTCTTAACACTCAAAAACCTGCCAAAAGGATCATCTTTTTAGTGCACACAAACAAATAATCAAACAGGGCGTGGGCCTATTAAAGATCAGACAAATGGGTTCAGAGAAAGAGCACCCAATAAAATCCCCTGTTTTGACCCAAAAAAAATCCCCTGTTCTCCTAATTTCCACTATTATTACTTACTAAAAATGTACGGCGAAAGGCTTGGAGATTTTGCTCGCAGAAAATGTTGGAAGACAAGAAAAATTCCATCTACCAGGGAAATCACGCTAGCAGGACAAGTGGAACTCAGGAGAAAAGCCTCCAGTAGCAGATTTCATCCAAACCAAAAACAGAGACTCGACACCTAAAACAAAAAGAAGACTTGACGGCTCTGGGAGTACTCAGAACATCCCAGTAACACCATAAAAATTGCAACTTTCGAGAGAGAAAGAGAGAGAGAGAGAGAGAAGAAACGTAAGAAATGATACCATCGCGTCCCTGTACACGGCAGACATGTAAAACGTTTCAGACAAAACCAAGAAGGCAGAGTGATAACTGACAAGCGGGTGCTAAAATCTGAACGTGTGAAGGCGAAACAAGCGGATCTTGCAAACCGGGAACCACCCCAAGAAACGCACCGTCCGATGCGAGATACGCGGCAGTTGGCGCAGAGGAGACAGAGAGTTTTTGGGCTGAGAATGGTGGAGAGCGAGACAGAGAGGTTACCGCTGATGATGAGGCGGTTCCTCCCCGCTATATAGCAGAGGGACCCTGCTAGGCAGTTTCTCTCGCCTCGGTTTACCTCCATTTCGAGAGAGAAAGAGAGAGAGAGTGTGAGTGAGCAAGAGGGAGAGTGTCCTTACCAATCAGCCAACGTGTCGGATTCTTGAAGGTATATTTTCTCTTCACCATGCGGTTCGACAGTTCAGTTTTCCCATTTCCCAACAAAGGTGGTGACACTGGTGAGGCGTCCACGTACTTTGCCTCGGCATGATCCAGGGATTGTTGCACGAACTGGGTTTTGTCCGAAGACGCTTTATGATCGTCGGAGAGCCACAGTTTTTCGAGCTCCATCGATCATAATCTTGTTAAGTTTTTATCGTAATTTATCTTAGCATGTCACAGCTCGAAAATATACTCTAGAGGTTGACCGAGCAGTTAAAGATCTTAAATTCGATAAATCTTGCGTTAAACAATCACAATGTCACAAGTTCATATCAATTTCAAGAGTGTTGCACTTCAACTTATGGTTGGACAAGACAATTCACAAAATTCGAATATCCCAAATATGAAAAAAAAGATTTGATATTTTTATTCAAATATGAAGTAACAGTTTCTATTTGCCTTGATTCCTATCTTAGATGTGATTGACACATTGAAAGCACTCTCGCTTCTTGATAATTTCATATTTAACCCAACAGTTCTCGTTGAATATTGCATATATGCTTAAGATATCCAATAATTCTTTTTGTGATATAAACTATCCATCAATTCTTGCTAAAACAGAATAAACAAACATCAACAGATTACCAAAACAAAATAGAGAATTTCCATTAAAAGGATAGTGTAATATATGGAATTGGAAGATGATTCTGAAAGATTACCTCTGTCTCCTCACAAACAAAGACGAGCAAATGAAGAACAGAGAAGAAATTAGTTTGTTTTGCTTTCGAGAAAATTCTCCACAAATAGCTTGCTCCCCATTTTCACACCACATCAATGGCTCCAAAGTGAAGATTCCGCCAATGGGGGAAAGTTAACAAGAGAGGGGCATTTGCTTGCATACTTTGTGCTTTCATGTGTTTTTGATTAATATTATTTGACGTTCTCAAGATGTTGTTATGTACTTTTGTTATAATTTTTCTCATATTAAAAGATAAATGGGGAGGATCAACCTAAATGATGGAGTTCGGATCAACTTTAGATAAAATCTTACTTAAACTCTAGCGGAGAATTTGATTAATGTGAATATATATTTAGGGTGGATCTCGAAAGATATGAAAGAAAGATCTCCCTCCAAGCCATACATACAACTTTCATCGAATACGGCTTTCCACAAAATTCGATATGTATCCATGAGATCGAGTATGGAATTATGTTTACTCACTTGAAATTGAGTATCCATTTCCCTCCCTTTCCTGCTAGGATTGGAGATCTTGTATTTTACATACCCATACGATTGAGTCCTTGGGTTTTCGAAATAGTGTAAAAATAAAACTAAGTGCTTCGAAATTTTCAACATATTATTTCTCTTGCAAACATTCATGTCAACACCCATGTCTAAAATGATATAACAATAGTTTTAGAGATCCGTGGAATGCACAGGGCATCTCGCTAGTGTCATAATAAAGGGCCTAAAAATCTTTCAACTCATGAGTATTATAGATAATCAAACGTCACTGGTCACTTCGTCGCTTAGTGGGGTAGGCTTGGGATTGAGCGATGAAGCGTCAGATAAGGAGGTCGCGGTTCACCCCCAAACAAGAGGAGAAACATATTCCTGTAAAATAAATGTTCACAATTTGAAATCATCCATATCAACTTACATCCTTCTATTGAAAAAAAGACTTACATCTTAGTTACTTGTAATTCAATGGTGTGCCATGACCTAATTGACAAAGTAGCTTAATTCAGAGGATTTACCCCCAATAGATGAAAATTTGAAATACCTTTCCCTCGTGGTGGGAAGGTGTTATGATGCCCATTAATGTGGGAAAACTTGCCCAGAAAAAGAGAACGGAGAAACTCGAAGTCTGAGCTGCGTTCCCAGACCGAACTATGCGATTTGAGCTTAATACGATTTGTCAATTCAGAGAAATTTTCCTGTGAATATCTTCCTCTATAGGCCAATCAGTCAACATGACTGAATGAATTCTGAATAAGAAATTAGTCTAGGATAAGTTCGGGAGGGACGATAAAATCCGATGCTTACGTAGTCGGACAAGCCAAGCGCGGAGAAACTCTTGCAAGTACAATCACGAGCGCTTCAGACCGAGATTCACGTCGGACCTTTTATTCAGGAAACGGTCCTAGACAAGAGTTTCATCGGCCCGTCGATATAGTTGACCTATGGGGTCATAAGGCCCTAGTTTTCTTCCACCCAAATCAATTATCGCATGTGCAATGTTACCATCTTGAAAGAAAACGGAAGGAATTTATGACACAAAAATACGCACCGATTGATCAAGTGACAAGACAACCTATATATCACGTGCTTCGGGTCCAACCATCAGACCAGATAGATCACACAAAACAATAGCCGTTACCTCATGCCCGGAGCTTCAGCCAACCCCACAAACTATATACTTTGCTTTCGTTTTCTTCCATCCTCGTACATGCAAAGCAGCGTAACTTTAATTCGCGTTGCATATCTGTCCCTCGGATCTTGTCATTCACAAAAGCACCAGGTATTCAACCGTTACAAGAAATGTGAATAAACAACTAATTGTTGTTAATCTAAAGATGAGGTTTCCTAGATAATTCAGTAAGACACTACTATTATGTTGCAAACTAAGGTGAAATTGCACATCAACCCTGGACAAAATTAACGCTTGGATGAAAACTTTACTGATTGATCACTAATTTACATGCAAAGCTACAAGCTATCTCATTAAACTAAAGAAAACAAAAGCATTCCAGAGGCTATGCAATAGCATGGATGGTAATAAATTCCTTGACCGCGTAAAAAGAAGACCCATCACCACCCCGAGAAAGATGAGAGGAAGCATCCTCTGTCCATTAAAATGCGCTAAAGCAAAGGCGACTGAGCTCACCAGTATCGCACACCAAACAGGCATGTATTTTGTAAGCGAAGGAAGAAGGAAACCCCGGAACACTATTTCTTCCCATACAGGAGCACAAACCGTTACTACAAGTGCATAAAGTGCCATCGCGATCGGATCCCGTGCCATAATTGACTGTTCAACACTTGATAGTGTTACAGGTGTAGAGGGGAGAATCGGCAATAGATCAAGGTTGATTTGCGAGAGGCGATTGACCAGAGGAAACAAGAGGCACCCAAGTGCGACGTCAAACTGCCACTTACCTTTTAGACTGAAACTAAACCAATCAGACGGAAGGGGATAAAACCGTGAGAGACAGCGGTGTAGGATCAAAATTCCGGCAATGCCTTCAGTCACATCAGTCAAGAGGCTATAGAGTGCCTGCCCTCTGAAAGTCAAAGATTCCTTGCTAAAACCTGCTATATGCACCGTGAATGGAACCAGCCATGTCCCTATAAACCAGAATGAGGTAACCCAAAGAACCATAACCTGCATCACGATTGAAGAATTCTTCAGACCTTCAACCATCAAGAACTTCTGATCACTCCAAACTTCTGACCAAGAACTTCTCATGCACATGGAGATTTATAGCAACTAAAAGGAAGTACCTTTAACACTGTCTCTGCTGTCCAGGGCACGGTCCAAGGCCTTCCAATTGCTCTGAATAATGCATTTACAGCCTGCATTATAACCAAAATATTTCTGAGAAACCTGTAGAAGTTTGAGAAACCTGAAGGCGTTCAAATGTGATGTGTCGGGACATGAAACTCTTACTTAAAACTAGGATGCCGCAAAACTATTCATTTCTTGTTTTATGTTGCTCTAATATACAGCTAAGCTTCTCTTTGTTAAGTTACGGGAGAACAAAACCTAAAATCTTCATTCTGGGAATGATCACATGAATCTTCGGCCTGTGGTCTCCTCCTCTTTTACCCTCTCATAAATCCTCCCCAGACTTTAAAATTTACACGTAGGGAATGTAACTACACCCAAGGCCAAGGATTGGCTTCTTTATGCTGGTAAAAGCAACATCAAAATGGAAAGCTCCTCTCTCACCCTCACTACTGCAATTCCAAAATGCAATTGGATTGAATTTTTATATCATGAATGCTTTTACTTGCATCTACTCTCACATTCGTACTCCTAGTTACTTCAGCATGACCCTGAATTCTAGTATAAACTATTCCTACAGTCAAGACAGTTAAGTCTCAAACATAGGAAAAGCCAGAATTCATGAGTGACAAGCGATTATGATTTATGACCTTCATCTCATTCAAGGAGAAAGTATCTTATAAATATGTTCTATAACTAGGTGGTTTGCGTCCATTGATAAGCAATCAGTGGTTGGCTTGCTTCTCCATATCAACAACGCAAGAGATGCCCAAAATACTTTGAATGTTCTAAGCATATACAAACATCACAACAAGACTTTTTCAACAAATTGCAGGCAGCCAGTGGGTGTTGACACTCTCAACAGTATCCGACATCACCCCAGAATTCTTTCAAGTTAAGGATAACAAACCATGCTCAACCCCCTTAAGTACTTGGATATCTTCACGGCTCAACCTAACATTGTGCTCCCATTCCAGAGCTTTCACTCAACTTACTTTACACACTAAATTGACCAGGAACGACCCGAACAACTCAGGCCATTTTCAGCAGAAGTCTCTCCCACAACTGCTCGGACTCTCTAGATGTCTGTGTTGCATATCAGCAATTACATTATCCTCTTTCCTAACTATTCGATTTGCTTCACATTGCTTTGTATTGTTTCTCTCAATTGACTCTAAACATGCATTGTGATCCGGTATACTGATGTTCACAGCACAGTTGAGAGGATAAGACAGAACTAGCTTTCCAACAAGGGATATAACTTTAACACGTTGCTCAAAGCCTCAACCAAATAAAGGCATACACAGAATTTCATGGCAAAGGAAAGCCGGCTTTGGTATTTTAGGCTAGGTAAAGTGTGCGAAGGGCGGAAGAACGGAATCAAAATTAATCCCAAAGCCTCTGAAGAAAAGACCATCACTAAGCCAAACCCTTGTTCCTACATTTATTCGTACATGTAAAAAAGTTCAGCCCTCTCCAACTCCGTAAAGCAGCAGATGTCTACTTGATTAGACTCCTAAGCATACACATTCTCTTTTCAGTAACCAAATGAGACTCCTCATCCACATGCCTCAGAATGATTCGATTTGAAAAAAAGGAAAGAAGAAATAACCTACCTCTCTAAATTTCGCTTTCCAGTCCTTCTGAACCGCTATTTCAGCATTCAATTCAGGCTCGGCACGTTCTTCCGGCAGAGCATTTTCAATGAATTTGAATCGCTGACTATCTGGAGAGAAATTCTGGTCCCTGAAGCAAGAAATCTTCCAATTCTGCATGGTCATCAGAGCAGCACCAAGACGTCAAGCAAATAATCAACAACTACCGTGAACTAGAGACCGGTTATCCCAATTAGAAGAAAGAAATTGCTCACGGCAAACAAAAGATTAACTAAACCTTCTCTCTTGATCTAAAAGCCACCACAAAAAGCAAACTTTATCGAAGAAACACGCAATCAAATCGAACCAACTATTAGCAAACGCAATCCCGATGCACGGCCGAAAATCCGCCAAAAAAAACGATCAATCACAACCACCCCTATATTCCTCCGCCCGCCGCGACGAGGAAATCACGAATCGAAAGGCGGATCGAAGCTCACATTTTTGGCGCGATTGCAGCAAGAGCCCGAGACCCCGGAGCCGCGCGAGAGGGCGTGCGCGAGCGACGCGGCCGCCCGCCTCGCCGGTACCCGAAACCGAGCGGCGGCAGGGGAAGGCGAGACCAGAGGGCGAGGGGAGAGGGATAGGGAGCGAGAGCAACAGGAGCTCAACATGGGATGGCGGTGGCGACGATGCGACGCGATGCGTTCTCAGGGTTGTTGGGAATCGCGCATCACGGAGCCTCCTTTCCTCCTCCTCAGCAGCAGCAGCAGCTCATGCCCGAATCGGATCCCGGTCCGCCGGCCCTATCCCAACACAGCCGATCAACCCAACCCAACCCAATCCAATCCAACGCAAGAAGAACAACAAGAAGGAGGAGGAGGAGGAGGAGGAATCGATCGGATTCTTGAGCGCAATGAACGAGGAGCGACCTAATCTTCCGATCAACGGAGGTTAGGGGGAAATCTAGGATGATTTGAAATGCGGTTGCGGGATTTTTTTCCCTCTAGGGGGTTAGGTTTGGGAGGGAAGGGGAGTGGGGGGGAGATCACTGTTGGTTCGATTTCGATTGATTGATGGATTGATTGGGGATGGGGATGGGCATGAGGGTGAGGATTCGAAGAATCATCGTCATGCATGAGCTAAAATCTGGACAATGGGGGGCTGGTGGAAAAAGAGCTCTCCATGGATATGGACATGGACGGACGACGACGACGGAAGGCGATGAAGGTGGTCAACGCGGTGAAAAATCTGGGAGAAATGGGGGTTTAATGCTAATTTCGGAATTAATCTCCCTCTTCTTTTCTTAATTAATTAGTGCTTAAGGAGAGTTCAGACACTTTTTATTTTAAATATATATATTAATATGTATATGGGGTATTTATTTAGTTCTGGGATGGTACCTCCTACCTACCCACCGCTCTAAGGACGAGCACGTGGAGCTGAGTCAGCAAGCCCCAAACACGTCCCCAGCAAAAGTCAATGTTTTTAACCCCTCCCCTGGTCAAACGTGGGGGGCTCTGCTCCCTCCTCATCCTTTGCTTGGCCATCACACAATCGATTCCCCCCCGCCCCGGGCGTTTTTTCACGCTTTTTAGTAAAAGACAAAAAGATGTCCGGTCCATCTAAAACCACGTGCGAACTTCGGATAGACAGTCTGGATAAGACTATAACCTTGTATGATGTGCCCATCGATTTTGTCGGTCAAGTTCGAGAGAAGCAACTCGATCGTCGTTCTTGCTTGGTTGATTCCCCTCCCCAATTTTAATACCGTCTTTTGGCGAACTTTCGAGAGATTTATATCGGTGAAGTCGCGCGCATCCATATCACGCCATCAACTCGATGTCAATTGGAGTCTTATCAAATGTCCCCGACCATAAGTTTACGAGAACATGGAAGGGAGAATTTCATCGGAAAAGTACCAAAAAAAGTCTTGTTCCAATTCAAAAAAAACATTTTAATTTGGCTAATTTAGTCATAAACATTTTCACATTGATACTAATTTAGTTCATCCGGCCAACTTAAGATGGAAATCGCTAACGTGGACACCGGCCGTCCTACATGGAACAACCAACGTTAATGTGGACTTTTTTTCCTTTCCCTTCTCCTACCTTCGGCCCGTGGCCGGCGACTAGCCACGAGCGAGGGCCAACGAGGGCGTCACAACCCTCACCGGCCATAGGCGAGGGTCTAAGTCCTTGACACATCCGGCAAGGATAGCCCTCGCCCAAGCCACAAGGGTCTAGCCCTCGCCAAAGGCCGTGAGGGTGAAAGCCCACTTTTCCCAAATTTCATCTGAGGCTATTTGTTCATGGGTGGGTAACCAAGACGTTTGAATGTTTCAATGGGAAGATAACAATTATGGAAATATGAATTAGTTTGACTACAATGGTCTACTCTAGGGCAAAGTCTCGAGGGTTTTGCTTGTGATACAATACAGCACGCGCGAAACATGCTCCATATGTCTCGACCAAAAAAAAACAAAAGGATGCTCCATATGCGCAAAGATTTCAGCACGAGCCTGTCCCCCACACCCTCCAGACTTTGCACACACGTGACAAAGATAGGTGCACAGCACAGATAGCGTACGTCTGTCCGATGCCCACCTTGATGTGGCCGAGTCCGAGTCACTCCAGCTCGATTCATTTATTGTCTTTCTTCAATCTGAATTTAAGGAGATACAGTCCTACTTGGATTTAAGCGCGTCCTTAAAATGCTTCGTATGAACCCTCGGGAAGATGAATATGTGGGAGGAATAAGGGGACTTGAGAGGATTCGGCCGCCGGGACGTAAAACAAGGCGTGTAGAAGAGACCCGACAAAAGTTTTACTCTCCACCTCTCAAGGCAGTGATCCTCACGGTTAATGGTAACCTATGACCCGAGGGCGAGCATCCCCCAATTACCGTTCGAGGTCGATAATATTTATCTTAAAAGCCTCGTTCGGTATGATCGAATTGTAAGATCTGTTCTATCTTTGGAACTCTGTGACACGTTCACAACATGAGACTCTATGGCCTTCTCTTTGAGTTCAGATTCATCCCAAGCATTTCTTTCGAGTCGAGCTTGAAAAATCGAAACTCGGGTCGAGCAGGAAATCTCGAATCCACATCGTCGAAAATGTACAGATAAAAAGCATGGGAGCTAAAGGCCCAGATCAAAAGGAATTTTATTCTTGCGTTCAAAAGAATTTAAATACAAGAGAACCTTTAGGAAGAGTGGCAACCAAAAACGACCAAAGAACATAAATCAAATCCCCAGAGAAAAATATCAAGACTAGACAACATGGTACTTCATGCCCACCTCAATCAAGCACACCTGAGGTATGTTCAAAGCCACGGCCGGGCTTCGACAGTTCTCGCTCAAGAAAGAGTACACCGCGTTGATTGCAAACTTCTTCAGAAACGAGGAGTTCGACTTAGCTTTAACTTGGGAGTGACCCATCACGTAAGTCACCCCAGCATGCTGAGCTTCCACGAGATGCAAGAGTTCTTCCTTGACCTGTGGGTTCTTGAACTTCGTCTCGAGCAGCTCGAAATGGTATATGCGGCCCCGATAGCAGGTGAGGTGGGACGATTCCTTGACGTAAATGGAATGCAGCTTCTTCAAGGCAGCAGACTTGCTGCAGCTGCAGCCCATCGAATCTGAAACGCTCGAGCTATAGCCTATGGTGGGGTCATCTGATTCCGAGACTGCCAATCTCGTCCCGAACTTCTCCGATGTTCGCACAACGGCCATCCAGCCGTCCATAGAGCCATCGAGGGTCCCGCAACCTTCTGATTCGAGCTGAATGAACTCCGCTATGCTCATGATGAGGTCGTTTTCCAGGTCGTCATCCTTCCTGTGAACATCCTTGTAGCCGTTCCGAACAATGCAGCGGTATAATCCGTACGACTTGGGGCCGATCCGGCCGATAAGATAGCGCTCTTTGTGGGGAACATGTGGGACGGAAACAGTTTTGACACAGACGAACACAGCCACCTGGTAAAATGCAGGTAAGTTGGATAGAAAATGTGCAAAAGTTGCTGGGATCCCAGTAGCCAGTTCAGTGTAGAAGAGACCGATCCCGGGGACCCTGAGAACACCGAGAGTGGGGCCCAAAGTGAGAATCCACTTCATCGGTACTTTGTTATGCAGGTCGAACTTATACTTCTTCCTTGTAGCGTAATGCCATATATACATCACGAACGTGAACAGCAAAGAAAGAAAAAGAGGAACCCATGCCCCTTTTGGGATCTTCAGACAGGCAGACGAGAAGTAAATGGTCTCAATCGATCCGAATAACAAGAAGAAAGGGATGGTGACCGCAAGATTCTTATGCCACACGAGGTGAATTACGAGGGACATGAGCCAAGTGGTCACAAACGCCTTCAGAATCCATGCAAATGCTGAAATCAAGACAAAAAATCAAGATAGTAACTGAAAGGAAACTAACAATTACCTCACAAAAATCAGGCACGTCCTATTTCTTCACCAAGACAATGCCAAACTAGGCTCTAAGCTATTTAATACCACTATGAATAGCTAATAAACCAGTTTACTGATGGAACCTTAGGGTTCAGGACCCCGTGTTGAATGTCAGAACACTGGGCAGACAACACTACCGTGGCCAGACAAGTTTATCTGTCTCGATTTATGAACAAGTAACCATTTCATGCTCAAGAGGACAGTGTTTAACTGCAAACTATGTGAGGTCAATATGTTCTTGCTTGAGATGAGTAAATGAATCTTTATATCTACAATTAAACCTCACTAAGGACCGTATCTAAAGGAAATCTACTTGGACATGGAACATCTCAAATGGTTTAGTGTGTAGAATGCCTACTAGATACCCTACCACTAGATGAAACCAACCAGAATAACGTTAAACAGGTAAAAGTACTTCCAAAAAGACGGCACGCACTAGATTGTTATTCTAGTTGACATACCGAAAGCATATGCAATGCGGTTTGTGTCTCTGAAACCAACTGCCACAGCCAAACAGAGTATCATTAGAATCCAGTTCAACTCCGGTACATATATCCGTCCTTTGATCCACCTTGATGTGTGTAGGATCTTGACGCGAGGGAAACAACCCAATGCATGGCTTTGTTTAACCAATGAGCATGCGGCAGATATTACAGTCTCACTGGCAATAATTGCAGCCAAAACAGCCATGGCGAAAAATGGCCAGAATAAGGGATCTAACAAAATTTTCAAAAAGCATTCATCAGAGACCAAAAACAAAAATCGATGCTCTAGTATTAGTACGAAGGTTCTGAAACTCCAACAGGTGTCTCATGATAAGGTTAATTTATTGATTCTAGGAACTTCCCATCAAATTTCACAGAGGTATAGCTTGAAGAAGAGAGATCCAACGGCAACTTGCTCATAACACTCAAATAATTACCAAGCACAAATTTAGCTAGCTCATCGTTTAATCTTGATTCATGATAATATATTTAGAGAAATTAGACTTCTTTAAAGTGTATCACTTCATCTTGTCCGTTGGGCAACGTAACTAATTGTCTAAAGGTTATATTATTCCATATAATATAAATCAATAGAGGAGGAGCACCAGTTCACTACATGATCTCTAGCTCCACTTTTAGCAGAGTGAACACATGCCGCTGCTGAGTATTACTTGCATCTCATCATCACCTAATCCATTTGACTGAGAGAAGGAAATCCAAAAATTTCATAGATCCTACAGTTTTGTTTATCCGAAATGAGAATCCTCCAGCAGCAAAAGATATAGTAATCACTGATGAATCAATAGTTTCAACTAAACAATCCATATTCTTACCAAAGAAAATAGAATCGACAATGTCTGCTTAATTTCATACATTCCCATAATTATCTAGATGATAGTCAGCTTCTTTAAATGAGCACTTTTAACATAATCTCGCGCGCATGGCAGTGCCCTAAACTTATGTGATCAGATGACTATTTCATTTGAGACTTAAGGACTGCTATCCCATCATAAGGTTGATATTGCTAAGTTCAAAGCACATAGATAGTGCTGAAAGGACTGAAAATATTAGCATGTGTAACTGCTTTTTACTCTGACAATATCCACATCAACATCCATGTTTCTTTCTTTTCTTTTGGGTTTTGGAGGTGAGAGGGCGGGGAGAGGGGGGGGGGGAATAGGTAGGGGGGTTGTGGAAGGACCAGCCAGCTATTAATGTCCGTGTTGGAACAGAAAATCTACCTGGAATAGATGCATAAAAGCTCCTAGGAAATGCTGTGAAGTTCTTCGACAGAAATGCAGCCTGACCCAGGTACTGAAGCACCAGGCAAGGGTAAGTGACACAGAAGAAAGCAATCTGCATAGACCAACTTCATAAGAATTCCCATCCAACAGTGCAATGGACTTGTGAGGCGGAAAAAGTCCCCAATAAAATTGACTGAATAGCAACACTATGAATAAGCTAGAAGACTATATCATGGATAGCAATTCAGGGTAAGTTGATGTTGTGCAACAGATATTGTGCCTAAGGTGTTTGCGTCGGATATCGTCGTTCTGAAAGGGCATAATTCAAAGTTCATCATGAGTTTGATAAACATGTTTCTAGTATAAGCCTTAAAGGCGAAATAACAAAACCTAAGCAGCCCCTAGTCAAATACTTCAAGTCACAACTTCAACAGCGTAAACCAAACCAAAGTAATCTCTAATATCTTTAGGCACTAACAGCAGTACATACCCGTACTGATGCAGCTGAGAAGTAACCAAGTTCTGCAAACATGACTTCCGTTCCTGTATTTGACAGGAATTACCTCCATAAATTGATGATGAGAGAAAGCTTGTTGACTAGGACTTGCACTATCTCACACAAAATACTTGCCTGTCACACATAGAAGTACTCCTCCAAGAGATATCCAACCATCTATTCCTGTGTGCCTGAAGAACTCAACGATATAGTAAGGGTAAAGAGCCTTATAAACATTAGGATTCCAGACTATGATGTTGTAGATGCCAACGGCAGCAATTGATAGTGACCAGAGAATCATTATTGGAGCAAATACAAAGGCCGCCCTGTATGTTCCACGGTGTTGCAAAACGAAGAGGCCAATTAATACAACACTAGCAATAGCAATCACAGACCCTGTGAATTTTAAAAAGTCAAAAATTTGCAGGGAGATATTTAAATAAGCAAATATTTGGTTTAGAAGGATAATCAAATGATCCTGGCAATGCCTACAACGCACAAATCGAACTTATATCTGTTCTATCTCTTCTTTCCTTCAAGATGTTTTCATGTTTGTATTGAACGAAATAACATTAGAACCCATTTTGAGCTTAAACACCCATAGAAAAGCCAGCCTTCATGGGATATGTCATATGTGTACTCAAAGTCTCAAAGCAGTAAGAAACTGTCAGCATTTTTCGTGGTTAAATGACAAAGTTCAGTTCAACTTATCTCAGAGGATGCGTAAAATTAACTAGAACTTTTATATCTTCAATCTACATAAGAGCTAAGCTCCATGTATTGATGATGTGACTAAAAGTGTACTTACTTTTATTGAAGGAAGTTACTCGCGTTTGCACACCTTCAATTGATGATAACACTGGACAAAAAAATCAAATCAAATCAAATAATGAGTTCCTGAAGAGATCATGGGCAGAATTAACCTGATAAAATTGCATCCTTCTCATCCTTTACAAGTTCCAATCCTATTTTTCACAGCAAGGATCGTGCGTATTATAATACCTGATATTGCAGGTGTGAGAGCACCAAAAGTAACCCCAAGGGAAGCACCAAACAAAACCAAGAGAAGTAAAAGAGTCTTTCTTCTTTTAAGCCGCTCGATAGATCTTCTGAACCTAGAAGAAGGTGTACTCCTGAGTGAGTAGTTCGGACTATAATATGTAGAAATCTCCTCATCCGCTGTTTGATAATTAGGAAGCAAACCGAATTTCGCATGTCTGCATAGAAGAGAATATAAAGCAAAAGTTCCTCCTGCACGTGACACGATCCCAAAGTATAAGCACAAAGCCTACACTCATGAGTATCTTTCAAAAAAAGTTCACCTTCATACCTTCACCATTATCATCTGCAGTCAACATGATGATCACATACTTGGACAACGAAACTAAGGTCAATGTCCAAAAAATCAACGAACACACGCCGAACACCACATCTTCAGTTTGATAGTCCCTCAATTTGCCCGAAAACGTAACTTTATACACATAAATGGGCGAGATGCTTAAGACGGCAAAGGCCGTGCCAAGACTCTGATATGCTAGAAAGATAATTTCTTTGCCTTGAAGTTTGCTCCCAACCTGTCGAAACAGAGACAAGAATCAGTTGAGCAATGTTGAGTACTAACCCTTTCAAAAGACCAACTTTCGCTGCGCAGTCAACGGGCTTCCAATCTTTTAAATCCAAACCAATTTGCCTAAACATAAAGTGGTATCATCACTAATTTCCGCTTCATCGACGAATCAGGTGAATAAGCCTCCTACATAAGTATTCTGCAGCGCAAGCGCCTTGAACCTGAACCTTTCGAAGCAGACATCCAATCAAATTAAGGTCCATGATCTGTCACCAAGAACTTTCTCTCCTACCGTCTGAACCAGATGCAACAAAATAAGAATGTCGTATTGGGCAATACAGAACGTTTTGTTACTTGCCCACGAATTCATTTCTTCCGAATCAACTCAAACCCAACTCACATTAAGATCCCACAAACGATCGCCCATCTCCATGAGAAAAACACGAACGCACACCAAAACAAGACCGAGACACGGGGAGGCATCGATTGCTTCAAACGCGTCTTGTTCGTTTGCCAATCAATGTCGCGCAAGAACAACCCAGAAAAGAATGGAGGACGTACATACCATTGCTTACGTCTGTGTGTGTGCGGGGAAGCGACAAGCGAAGAGATCGGCACACGGGCGGGGGATAAATGCATGCGCGCTGCACGCGTTCATGCAATGTGCTCAGAAAAAATGGGGCAGCTCTGAATCCGTCCAACGTTTGTTCTCGTTCGTAACGAACCGAGAAGTTCAGATCTCCCCGCAAAAATTTCTGGCAAAGATCGGCGCTTTGCTTGGAGCGAACCCAGAAAATGAATCTTGAATCGTGTGGTGACTGACGCGTTGCATTTGCCACCTATTAAACGCTTTTTTTTTTTTTTGTGCTTTTGGTTATCCTTCGCTGTTTTTTTTGTAATAATTTTTTTTTATTAACGAGTGTTTTCTAATTCGTTTACTTGTCAATTTTGAAAAGAAATTTGACCCAAAACAAAAGTTTGAAAAGAAAAACTTGTTATTAATTATATGATGCTTTCCTTTAGGACGTAGATCTACCAAATGGGTGGGTTTCTGACCCAAACAAAAATGGGAGGGTCGGATCGAAAATGATTAGACACAAATTAGCTCATTTAATCCGTTTTGACCTATCTACTCGATCCAACACAGACACAATCCTTACTCGACCTAACCCATATTGCCAAAACACTTATATATTTAATTAAATCTAGAAAAACTCATAGCCAAACTAAGATGAGAGCACGGGATTCGAGTGAGGGCTAGAGAGAGTCATAAAGATAGGTTAAGTCTAATGAGTTGTGAACTTGTCTAACACTTATATTATTTTGGACTTTACCATTCTAAACTAATTTATAACTCATTTACTGAATATAACTAACACATGTAACAACATAGTCCATCAAATATGGGTTAAGAAATGGGTTTATGACCAATTTTGAGAAATCTACTTATATGTAATTAGTATTCTGAAATTAAAAATATCATTTATAATGTATGTTTAATAAGTATGCAAAAAATTGGTTGACAAACCCTATTTAACATTACAGCCTCCCATAGTGAAATTTTATAGATTTTATTTCGTTGATATAAAATGAAAATACATAGTGTAACGACCCGATCCAACGAGGATGGAGGGCTCAGACAAGAAGCAGCTTCTAGGATGGGAAATGGGTAGGAATGAACTAAATTGCACACTAAATAGGGGGAGAGAGTGCTTGAGATATATATATGTGTGTGTGTGTGAAAATTGAAATTAACTCACGAAAGCACCTTTTGACATAATGAAAAGTTTTGTTTTGAAACCCTAAAGTTAAGGGTGCTCAAGTTAAAGAACTACCGTGATGGGTGACTCCCTACGAAAGTGTCTACCTATCGTGAGACTCGGTATGGGACAGATTAAAGCGAACAATACCTCGAATAAGTTAAATAAATCGCCATGAATATCTAAAATTGGACAAACTAAGATTTTACGATTTTGAGTTGAGTCAAATAACCCAAAATCACATAAGCTCCATTTCACTACTATTTACATTGATTAATCCATCTGGGAAAAGAATCCTAACATCAGTTTGCATGGTCTCAATAATGAAATTTACTTATTTTCATATGTACGATAATTTATAAGATAATTTTCCGATAGCAAATTTTGCTTAATTTTATCTCATAGTCGTATATATACGAATATAGTGTTTGCTTCATCTTATTGTGTTGAAAATATGCCATGCAAAAGCAAATTTCTAATTTGAAGAAATTATCAAATGCATTCCTTATTTTTTAGCCAATGACCCATTCCCTACCTCCCATTTTAGAAATATTTTTGACATACCTCTAACAAAAACCACCATATTGAGTTGACCAAAATTGCCCTCTGCATCTTACTTAAGTTTGGGTGATTTGGTTTTTAGTTGGTATTGAGTGTTTTAGACGGGTTTAAAAATTTTGGATAAAGGGATGGGCAGTTTTACAAAGAAAATAGTCTTTTCGTGAATAGCGACACAAGAATGAGGTTATGTGAATAATAATGAGGTACGCTTTTTTATTTTCCGTTTCATTTTTAAATATGCTTCTATGCATGTGAACAATTGAATCTCAATAAATCAAGATGGTTGCAATCTCTACATAAGAAAAATGCCTAGCTCCGACCGACATATAGTAAAGATAAAGCTAGACGTTAAGCACATGCTACCCTCGTACTGGGCTAGAGTAGAAGTGCTAGGGGTGAGCATGGTCCGGATTGGGCCAGTCCAATACCTAACCCAATGACCAACCCGCACAGTGTTGGTCCCCAATTTTTGGAACCGAAGACCGACCTTATTGAGCCTGGGACCGAGGATCGGACCGATCCTATGGGTCTGGTCCAGTTCTAGGTCAACCAAGGACCAATCGATTATTTTTTGTTTCATTTTTTGTATTCCTTGAAAAGACAAACATACTATTTCAAATTACATATCCATCAATAATGCGATATTGAGCAACCAAATTATGAACACCAATACATATCAAACATAAATATAAGATAAGATAACAACACAAAATCCACACTTGCTAAAAGTAACAAACCAAAAAAACGAACACGTAAAATACAATTAAATCATAAGAAGTTCAAAATACGTAAGATAAACCATGAATTATACAACTTCATATCTTGCTCATTTTAAATTATCGCTTCAACTTCCGAACACCTAAAAACAAAATAAACAACACACACAATTAATACTTAGCAAAGTATGTTTGTCCAGCTAAGCTGCACTCATGAGGCGAGCGAGGAGGCGAGCGAACATAGACAAGCCAGGCGAGGCGAGAGGCCGAGGTAGAGATGAGCGAAGAGGGTTTCTATTATTTTTTTTGTCGAAGTAGGCCTGGGTTTCTTTATACTTTCTATTTACACGACAAACTGAACGACATAAGAAAGAAGAGAATAGATGAGGAGGCGCTAGGGTTTAGAGTAGACAAAAGCATATAATATATAATTTATATTATATATGATATAATTATATAATATATACAGGATTGGTCCGGGTTGGACTAACCCTAAACTCCGAGGACCGAGCACCAACCCACACAGTGCAGGGTTTAAGGATCCCAGGACCAAGGACCGACCCAAACCCCCTGGGAACCGAACCAAGACCGGCCAGGTCTGGCCGATCCAGGGTCGGTCCAGGGTCAACCCTAGACCGATGCTCACCCCTAAGAAGTGCTGTACAAAAGTGAGATTTTATTCTTTTAACACATGTTGTGTAAGAAGGAAATTTTAACTAAGGATAATGTTGGAAAAGACCTAAAAGCAAGACCATCACTTTTGTATTCAGATAACGAAAAGCATAGTACCAGAATTTAGTACATTTAATATAATTTTATAGGGTGCTTAATTACAAAAATGATGCAAATCAAGATAATTCATATTTCTTAATAAGCGGTGATAATTAGGGATTATCTGCCCTGTTGCTACTATATACTTTATATAGTATAGTTGATGATTGGTCGATCGATCATTCCCACTAACGAGCTGCAATAATCATTTGACATCTTACATCTCTCGGACGGATCCGTCGGTCGATTCAAGCATATTCTATTAAATGTCCTTTTCTTGTAATCATTATGTTTTTTTCCCTATTATGCAAAACTCCATATTATATGGATACATTTCGGATTCGTAAAATACTCTCATAATCTCTCAATCTGGTATTCAAGACTCGAGCGAAACCTAGGCGGCTACCTCATGTGCAAATCGAACTTGTCGCGCGCATAATTCACACACGAATGTCCTATTGAAAGTAACTTGCAAGTCATTATTGGGTGCGTCGGACTGTGACTTGCAAAAGGTTAAATGTACAGCTTGAGGAAGGAACATTCCATTCCACATTCCAAATTTTTTTCCTAGGCTTACGTCCAGCTGCTGATTTCAATTTCCAACTACATTTACACTTCATATTTTTGCAGAATTGCAAAATGAAAACTAAAAAAGAAAAATTGTGGACCAAAGAGGAGGGTGCTGGTCCAATTTACAAAGACGGGCACTTGCAATTTTATTTATTTTTTATTTGGTGAGAACAGAATATTTAGGATCTGAATTTTGGATCAATTCATCCGCATCCAATTCGAATTTCAATAGTCAGTTGGGCATAGTTGATATATATAAATCAAGAACCGATAGTTCAGTTTGCAACACATGCCATTTAACTTTCCTTTGAGTAAAAAAAACACGAAAAAAAAAGGGAGAATATCCAAAGCTTATTCGTAATAGGACATAGAAATTAGGGCGAAAAATACAGAAGGGCGTATTTTATTAGGTATTTCAATAGCTTAAACCAGCACGGATATGAATGGGGAATTGTTTCGTCATATAAATAGGGGAAAATGCATGAAAAAAATGCTGATGGTTAAGGAATTCATATCTAGTTGTTTTCCAACTTTCGCCCGTGTTTTGACTAAATCTATTCTATTGTACGTAGTTAAGATCGGAGTTAAGAGAATGCTCACTTATGTGTCCGTTAAGTGACACTTAACTTTACCTTTGTGATCGTCACGTGACAAGCCATATGGCTCACACATTCTCACCCACTTTCAATTTTATCTTAATGCATCTTGATGACCCGAATATTTGGTGAGCTCTTGACAACCCGTTTCTAAAGTTTTATTGACCGAAATTTTAATAGAGATCTTGTTGAATCCTACTGGGTTTGGTACTTTTGAAGTTCTTTAATTTTCACGAACTTCTTGATAGCAACTTTTTAGAATTTAAGGTCTCCGTCGGTCCGTCCCAATATCAATAGAGAGACCTATTTATGGAGAGAATGGGAGGAGTCTTTGATCCTAGCGATTGCTTCTGATCGATCAAATTAAGATTGCATATCTACAACTTGCATTTTGATCAATATTTACTTTGATTGAAAGATACATCGAATTCATTTGTATTTAATATGGATAAATTCTAATTTGATTTAACTAATCTAATCAATCAATATTTTTGTTCAACTTTAATTGTCATGCCTTGATAAAAAAAATAATCAAATGATGTATTCAAGAGCCAAGGTGCAGACCCTTGGAGGCCCTCCCCCGCAAAAAATGAACACCTTAAATTTTCATCGCCGTTTTCTTACGGCCCCCAAACTTTTCTACTTAGGTAATAAAATTATAACTTTTCTAGGTAAAGCTAACTCACAGGTTATCAGATTGTGAAGTATTTTATGCTAAATTGACGATCATCAATGTTAAGCTAACTTTCTATTAGTTCACTACAAAAAAACATGGATTTTGCCACGGAAATTTGCGACGGGGAATTTTCCGTCGCTAATTTGCGACGAAATTTGCGACGGAATTTGCCACGAAA